AATGATTTTGAAATCAAAGTTTTAAGCTTTTGGTGGATTCAGCTGCTAAATTATAGGGTAACTGGATGAACAAAAATGTTGTAAACAATAGGTAACTCAATTAGATATTCTTGGCAAAAAAAAATTTAAAGAAAAATAAGTATCTGAAGCGCTTGCATGATCGACTGATCAATCCAGATAAAAATCAAATTTACTTGGATGGATGGTTTTTATTTGATTACTTATTAGTTTATTTATCAATATGGTTGGAGTGAAAGAGAAGTGATCAAATCAAAGTATCTATAGCTCAATCAAGCATTCTAAGTTAGATGAATGCTGAATGATCAGCGGAAGAACGCCGAAGAATTGCGTGATTTCGAACACCTATGGGCGATAGTGGGGTGGAGGTGGTGTTGGCCCCGAGATGGAAAGGAAATGGAACAACCTGTTTCGCATTGGCATTTTGGCTGTGAGGAGAAGAATGGGCAGATAAGAATCGCTAACGAACAGTTGCACATCATGCATACGCACATACACACACAGTCCCTCCTCACTTCTCCATCTGCGTTCGCCCCTCTTGCAGAAGTGAAGAGTGATTGAACGAACGCCCCGTCACGCCTTGTTTCAACTACGATTGTCGTAACGTTTCAAACGCACACACAGATAACGCTGCGCTACTCACCAAGGTCCCTTTTTTTGAGGGGGGGAAGGGAAGGGTCTCATTCTTGAGTTTGGTTCGGTAAGTTGAAGTTCAACTACGATTGTCGTAACGTTTCAAACGCACACTCAGATAACGCTGCGCTACTCACCAAGGTCCCTTTTTAAGGGGGGGGGGGATGGAGGGAGGGAAGGGTCTCATTCTTGAGTTTGGTTCGGTAAGTTGAAGCGTTTGAAGGAATGGAAAATTCTAATTCATCCCTTCCGGGCTTAGCGGGTCAACCTCCATCGACTTCATGGGGCAGTAGTACTGCGCAACGAAAGTTTACATTCATTAGATTTGTTAGAGATAGCTCCAGTCAATCTCAGGAACAAATCCACGTTTGAGGAAAAAATCGGAAGAAAGGAATTTCTGAACAAAAATTAAAAACTAAAGACATCTCGTTCTCGAAAAAAACCCAAATATTGCTATGTTGTTTATCAGATGTGTTTTAAAGAAAAACAAAGGTGGATAGCTGTAGCGGACCAAGGTCTCCCCCCCCCCGCCTCTCTCTCTCGCCTGCGAAAATAAGTTTCGAAATTTGTGGAAATTATTTGAATGATTTATAAAATTGTGCAAGTGACTTGTTTCCATTTGTACGTAATTGAAGTAAATTTTGAAATTTTTTGAAAGTATAAAATGGCCCTGTAAAGATTTTTGGGAGCGTAGCTGCAGCCTCCTTTTCAAAAATTCAGAGTTGTTAGGAGAGCGTGGCTAACCTCACGTACCTTTTCATTTGATAGAACTTTTGCCGCCTGCGCCCCCCCCCCCCGCTCACCCCGAAAAAAAGTCGCGGGGAGACAGCTCTCTCTCTCTCTCTCTCTCTCTCTCTCTCTCTCTCTCTCTCTATCTTAGGGAAAAGTCAGGTCCGAGAGTGTTGACATAATCAATTTGAAAATTTTGAAAAGCCATTTTGGAAAGCAGAAAGCAGGGTTTCGCTAATCTAATTAAGCAATTGCTAAAGTCACGACCAAAAAAAAATTTCCCAAAAGAGGGGCGCCACAAAAAATTTCCTTGGATAAACAAGCGTGGCGTTTCACATGCCCTCTAAAAAGTTTTGGAATGCTTCGGAGATAGTTACGGTCTCAAACCCCAAAATTCGAGGTAGGGAGTTTTTCGCAGACAAGTACCCGAAGAAAAATTTTCTGGCTAAATGGAATTTTGACAAAGGTTTGAAAGTTATGGCAATGTTTCACAAGTGGTTGTATCCAAGATTTTGCGTCGGGGCGCGCCCCCTCTTACTCTGTCACTGGATGGTATCTATAATTTCTTATTTCCACATTTTTGTGAGTAGTATGAGGAGAAAAATGAGAAAGGCTATGAGCTGAAACTAGACATGAAAAAAGGCAGAAAATGTGCCTACCAACCAACACTGCTTACGAATTGTTCAAATATTTCTGCTCAAAACTCGTAGTGGATTACTGTAGTTGTCAAGTTTTGGCATTTATGCAAACAACAGACTCGAATCACGCAATCGAACCGGCAAACGACAAAAACCATAAAGAGAAATACAGCTAATCAGTGCCTATGATAAGAGCGTAGACTGCCAATGCTCAATCGCTAAAATCTAAAGAAATGCCGAACTTACGATAAATGATTGGAAGCATTCAAACTGCACATCGAATAATACATAGAGCCAGGGTTCTGATATTTTGCTGTGAGAGAATGAGGTGTTTAAGCCACTACCTTTATAGAGGGAAAAGTACCTCTAATTGATCTATACGTTTAGGGGCCATGGGCGGCTGGGTATGGATAAAAGACATAAGTTCTGTTCTCATCGGAGGTCAGTTCGATTTTTTTGTTGAGTAACAAATTGCGCAAACGGTGGCAAGGCTTGAATAAGCTGATCAATCATTCTGAGGCACAAATGTGTGAACTTACCTTTGCAGCCAACCAAGGACAAAGAAGTAGACATAATTCGAAACTTCGCTTGGTAATAACGTCAGCAGTTTCGTTGCCTCATTTTAACCGACCCGACCCATGACATTGCGCATCTTCATTGAAAATGATTGGAAATATACAATACACAACCAAGGCTGTGAGTCATTCCCATATTGCTCCTGGTGGACCTTTATTTTTCGTGCGTTCTTGCTAACCTCAATGCGTTTTTTCTTTGGCTTCAGATCGAGTCAAATCTATCGTAGACAGTAATGGTCGACGAGATTATCGTAGAGAGGGGGCAACTTTTCCAAGTGAAAGGACATGGTGATCGCACCCCACCTCTCAGAACAAAAACTACATAAAGTTAATTTGAGTATATGAGTAAAGAATTAAAAGATCATTCACATATGTAATTAAAAACTAACTGCAGAGTACTTCATTTTCGATCTGTGCAAAGTTTATTGGCAGAAACTCCTATAATGCTTTTTTTTAATTTAAAATTTCTCCAGAAGTTTCGTTTTTTTAAGCTCTGGACTTTGTTTAGAGAAGGGACCTTTGGAGGGCTCGAGTTTTTGCCAAAAATCAGTTTCCATAAAGCTGTAAAAAGGTAGAAATTGTTTTATGGCGGTGATTCTTCGACAGATCATTCGCTCAGCTTCTGAACAGTAGACGGTAAAAAATGGCTGACTTAATTACAAATTTCGAACTTCTCATCCAGCGGCCTATGCGAGTTCAGGATAAACTAGTCTTCATGCCATCTAACCGTATGCGTCACGTTCCAGTGACCATTTTGACCAAATGTTTCTCTTTATTAGTTCCTGTGTGTAGAAAAGCTGCTGCAGGTTGCCCAAATCCTCGTCGTCGTCATAAAAAATTTCAGCATGAAAGAATTTTGGGTGCACCCGTTTAGCTCAGGTCAACGAGGCGCATCTAATGATATGAAGTTGCCTGTCTACGCTAGTTATACGGTGGGTAGCCAGTCTTCAGGTTTAGTTAAGGTATGTGCGCTTGTGATAAACGCAACCTATTGCAGACAAAAATCTGAAAAGGTTTGACAATAAAACTGGCTATCTACCGTACACCTATACACTTACCGTAGACACTGCACTCGTCGAGCTGAGTCGAATACCCTTAAACTCAAAATCCGTTTTCTCTGAAAAGGGATATGACGATGCGACCGCTTTCCGGGTTCCGACGGGCGTCGCGGTTTTTTCTTTCTAAATTGCGAGTGGCTGTTTAATTTGTCAGCATTGCTTTTGTACCGTAATGCTAAAGAATTTAGAGCAAAATCCCCGTCAAAGTAAAGTAATCATGAGAGCGCAAGAAAGTGTAGGCATGGAAGACCGACTAACCACTACTAGAGGTTTTGCTCTACTTTATCTCTGCACAGTCATAGCAGGTAGACGAGCTCCCGCCAACAGGGTTTTTTTTTTCAACCTACTGGTCCTTTCGCACGCGCTATTGCATATTCCGCAAAGGCGAACCCTGAAGGGAAAGTTTGTTTTACAACCCGCTCAGCTCCAAGCCATGCTATTTTTCATATACCCTTCGATTCAAAAGGTGGCGGCTGGAAGGTGGGGCTTCGAGGCCTAATCAGTGCCAAGTAGTGGTTCGAGAGCACGCTCGCGAGAAAGAGACGCAGACTGCGTCGCGTGTGCGAGTGGTCGTCTTCCAGTCGCCACAGCTGAAACAAAGACTCTACGATCTTGTCTAGAATGGAACTCAACAACAATGGATCTCGAAATCTACCTGTTACGAGATATTTCTGAATATTTGCTTTCTTGCATCTCAAATCTTTTGAATTCTGGAGTTCATATGAATTAAATAAATTCTTATCATAATTCTTCTTTTCCCAAGTTTTTCCTTCACTCAAAAGCATTCCTAACCGCTCTAAGGTCAACATGCACGGTCGTTTCGATGAATTTCTTTCTGACTCAAGTCACAAGTGAGTGTATATTCACTAAGAATAGCCACAAAGCCGGAGTTATATTTAAGAAATAGGTGAGCTTTCAAGTTTTGTCGATTACATCAGGAATCAACGAAAATTGGTCGAATTTAGCTCTGGTGTCCAAGACAAGATATAACAAGATAACAAAGCAAACCACTCACCTTTCTTCAAGACGTCTTGAAGCAGAAGAAAGAAGTTGAAGCCACAATGCGAATGTGACGAAGCGATGTGTTTGCGAATTCAGCATAATCACCCTATTTCAGCGTTTTAAATTGTCATCACTATGATTATATTCCTCTACAACGTTTGTGCTATTTGCATTCGCTACAATTGCTACGACCTTCGATTGTGCATGTATTGTCCTACACCACAAGAAACATCATATTCAACGTCGAAATGGGTATAACGATTTCAGACGGCGCAGGTACGATGCTGTCAGTGTCAACGACGCTTAGACACTTTTGAAATAGGGCGGTGCTATAAAATCATTACTTTCCGGCGTACTTTTAGATTTCAAAACTGCACAGGAGAAATGTTTTTTCTTTCATGGAAATGGGCCTTAAATCGAGGTGATAAGGCAACACGTCTTTTACAAACACAGATTTTCACAACAACGAAACAACAAAGCGCTAAACAAAACATTATCTCTATAAGGATTATGTTGACAGGAACATCTCATGTGTGGTATTGTGGGAGCGAGGCGGACAACGGATGAAAGGGATGAAAATGTGAGGAGAAGAACAAGGGGAGCAGTGGGAGGGGGGAGATGGACGGTGAACCGAGATACATTTTAGTGAGTAATCGTAGTGATAATAACCGTCATATTGTCGCAACCAGTACCATCGCCGGCTGTTGACGGTGCCAAACAGTGATCGCAAAGCTAAAAAGGATAAGAAAGTCATTGCTCATCTGCAAAGTAGAACAGTTTTCTCGCAAAACGAGAATGCCTAAGGCTACTCTGTATGAGGTAAGGATAGGAGAAGTATTAGATACATAACAGAATAGTTTTCATTTGCTTTCACAAGTTATTAAACATACAAACAGTTAAACAGCAGATAGAAATAAAAAACGAGCGGCAGCTCACCTCTTCGGAAATTTCCACACAAGATTTTCCTTGTTTTAGTCGTTCTCGGACGAAATCGACAACTTGTTGAGAGTTTAACGAATTCCTACAAAAGTAAAGGGGATATTGAACGAATGCCAAGAGAAATATAGTCATGAAACAAAAAAATCTTCAGCTGTTCACCCGCGCTTCTACTATGAATACGAGCACAAAAGGGCCTCCATAGGACCTTTTAGTTGTATCCCTTGAACAAAATGATTGTCATAAAAGCAATCGCTTCTCAAAATTATAAGCGCTTATTTTTCTAATGGACGGAGCGCGGTTTGAAGGGAACAAATAATGGACGAATAGATGCGATATGGACAAAGCAAAAGTATATAAATAAGAGAACTTCCATTTAAGTAAATGAGCAACTTGAGCAAAAACAAAGCGAACGGAGTAAAAAATGCACAAAATCCAGAGATAATGAAACGTAAGAGTGACAAATAACGAAACTGACATCATAATGGAAACTCACCAAATCCCATCACAGGCTATGACGAGGAACTCGTCGTTAGGTTGCAAAGTTTCGACTTTTACATCGGGTAGAGCACTGAAAGTTCACACTCAGGATCATTATGTCAGTTATACACTATACACAAATCCTTACGTGATCATCTGATCCCGTAATGACAGATCTGTATTCTTCTTATAGCTATGATCACCAAATGCTCGCGATAGGTTCAGTCCACCATTGACTCTATAAGGAATAGCTGCATGCGATATTGACAATGCTGCACAATGTTGAATAGCCCACCGTCCATCCTCATTTACAAATCCGCCAGCATTGACAATACGCGTTCGTTCAATGTCATCCTCTGGTTTATGGTCTAGTGACAGATCAATGGCAATTCCATCCCGGCATAGAACCGCTCGCGAATCTCCAGAATTCGCCACAACGATCTAGAAAACTCACAATCAGATAAGCAAGGAAACTTAGAAAAAAAATAGAATTCACTCTGTCTTTATTCATAAGACAAACGCAAGCGGTTGTGCCAGAATCTTCTCCAGGCGTTTCTAACCCTCCAGGGATGCATCCGACATCCTGAAATTACGCTAGTAGATCTCACATTCAAGATAAATTTCTAAGAACAGAGCCTAAACTTAGCTCTTACCCTAACAGCAAACCACCACGAACAAATTATCATAATCCATTGATAAAACTGCACAAAAACTTTCGAAATATAGTTATTAGCACTAAGTTCTTCGTGATAACTTGTATTAGTTACCACTGAAGATGTCGTGTCAGCTGAAAGAACGGACTCACTTCAGTATCGTCATCAGAATCACACTCATCCTCATCCTCACATTCCTCGTCTTCTGCTTCTTCTTCGGCTTCGTTGAAGTCGGAATCATCTTCGGAATCTTCATCATCTCTAGAATAGCATCTTGAACTTTCATAACACTTCACGATGAAGATTCGAGGATAAAAATTTTTGTCTCAGCCAAAAATCCACTGTTACTACAACTTTTGTAACAATGGGTGAAGAAGCTGATGACAATATTGGTTCAATCCATAAGTGCATTGAGACAACTCAGAACACTCAGACTCAAGATGATGAACCATGTCAAAGCAAATATTTGGGCGAAAATAAGAAGACTGACATAAACGACGCATGTGCAAACTCAGAGATACAAATCAAAAATAGATAATACTATTTCGACAATATATAAGCAATAATCAAGTTTTGAATTTATATAAGAAGATTCGGTGAAAAAACTCGGAAACTGATTTTAAGATAGAATGGAAAGGATAAGTAATAATTCTATGAAAACTCACATGACTCCGTCTTCTGCACCTCCACCGGGTTTCTTTTCAGCATTTATCGGTATTTTCTTTTGTTTTGACTTTATCAATGGCGGGGTATTCTCCTCAACGCCGTTCTTCTCCTCAGCTTTGTCGCCATCGTCTCGCTCAGCTTTGTCGCCATCGCCTCGCTCAACGCTTTCTTCTTCGTTCTTAACCTCCTCTGACGTGTTGTTGCTATTGCTAAAAGCTAGGTTCAGCTGACTTACAGCAATATATGCAACAACCTACCTTACAACAGTTGATTCGCTGGGAGTTACATCGGGAACCACTGAATCGGTGCTTTCAATGGTCGTGGTTTCACTGATTTTGGATTCAGTGACCGTATCACCATTGCCTTCATCGCCTTTGGAATTGATCAGCATATTCAACAAACTTCCTGGAAAAGATCCTAAGCCTTAATTCTCTGCCACTTTCGTCATCTCGACAATCTTTACGCGCAACGTACCATTTCCCTCCTTACCATTTCCCTCGGTCTTCGCTCGCTTGGCGGGTTCTTGAGTGGGTGATCTACTTTGACGTTTACCTTTAGGGCACTTATCGTCAGTGTTTTCTTGTTCATCATTTGTTTCCTAAATCGAAAAGCATTATAAACCCCGTGTGAGACGAAATTCAAGCGTAAAATATGTACCTACCTCAAGTGATATTTTATTTTTGGCTGGAGTCCTCCCGATAATGTATCCTTGCCTATAAAATCTGAAAAACCAAGTTTAATGATGAGTTCCAAGGTAATTCTCATAATGAAGTCTGAAGTAAGAAGTGTGTGGTTACCTAGTTAATATCTCCTCTAAAGGCATAGAGCTCTCTTCGATGGTTTGAATCCGATCACACTCATCTTCGCTGTTATCTCCGTCATCATCATTATCAGGCCTATCTTCACTTTCTTTTGCCATCCGCTGAAATCGTGGCGATGCTTGATAACAAGGATGAAGCCTGTGTTCCAAAAATAGGCAGGACTTACTTTCAACTCCTTCATCACCTCTTCTGACCTCAAGATGTCATCAAAATCGACGAATATTTGTTGCAAAGTAGTGACAAGGTCATCATTGGCCCAAAACTCCCTGATAACACATAATGGTGTGACGCTAAGCAAAACCCCTGATTTGTGCACATATCCAATAGCTTACCTTTCCTTCAGAAAATCTGGTAGCTTCATAGCCGTATATTTTGAAACTTCATCTCCTCCATGGCCATCGTAAACGGCGAACATGCTCCATTCATCATTTAAGTCCAATATGCAATTATGTGCATCCTAAATATACAAGTGATTGGTGGTTCGATAGCCAAAAACACCTCTTACGCAAAAAATATATACAGCAAAAACCGGCAACTCCTCAAAAACACCCAAGCCTATGCATCTCCTTGGATGACAAGTTGCTATTATTTGAAATAGCTTAGGCATGACGGTGTTCTACCAATGCAAATTACAGCAAGTGGTAGGATGCACTTCAGAGGCACGTGACCATCCAAGGATCAGCCTTCTGCCTTTCAAAGTTTCCATTTCAAAGTAAATGCAGTGAACATATTCAACCTAATGTCATTTTTACTAGGCGTAGAATAAGTGAGTAAAAACTTGAATTGAGTCAAAAATTCAAAACTAGATATCATATAAAGTCTACTTCGCTGACGTCGCAGCAGTTTCAAGGAGTCAGCAACAGACGAAAGTTTTCGTTATATAGCCAATCGATTTTCAAAATCAACGTTCAGATTCCGATAAAGACGCACGCCGTCCTCTCCTATACAACGAGATATTGCAAGATTTACCTCATTCGAAGTCTATGAGCATGCGAATGCAGTTGAATTTGAGTTACTTAAGTATTGACATGTGATCACCCGGAAAAAGGTGCTGGACTACAAACTTTCTTTCAGTACGATCGTTGAGGAGAAAAGATCAATTCAAGAACATTACTATAAACTTTAAAGTGATCAATAGATTTTCTCACATACAACAAAAGCTGCAAGAACCTTTATGTTCAAAAAATGCGGCTATTGAAAGACTCAAGACCATCTACACTTGAAGGATAAAAATTTGAACATACGTGAAAATAAGTACAACATAAAAGGGAAGATCGAAGGTTCTGTGGTAGAAAAAGAAACCGACCTCTTGTTTCACCCGCCAGCCTTGCATGCACGTGGCGCCGTACGTCAAACCATTGCCCTGACCACTCTCGGACTCTTTTTCCGTTACCGGTTTGTCAAGATAAGCTCCCATTGGTATATAGAGATATGCTGCGACTTGTTTTACTATAGATTAGTGCCGTAGTACAGAATTTATCATGCCCAGAAGACTGAAAATTGATTATTCAGCAGTTATGTCTCAGCACACCTGAACTTGTAAGAAACTACAGATATTCCCGGCAAGAAAGACGTCCAAAGCAAAGATTGCACAAAGCTTCGAAGAAGAAGAACAGTCGAGGAGTGGGAATGAACATTATGTACATGGCTATCTATTCAAGCGATTCGGCCAGTGGCTCGCTGCCAAACTTTGAACAAACACCGTACGATTTCGACGTTGGATTGCAGAAGCACACATCTGACGCGAAACTGCGGACTTGTAGCAGCTGATTTAGTCATTCTTGGAAGTGGCGTCATGATTGCTTATTCATTGAGTTTTATGTACTCCAGTAATATGTGTCATTCTTTCTCAGATTCCAGGACAAATCTAAAAACTCAAGGTCATTACGTAGATAGTTCTTTGTACGGGAAATTCTTTATTTAAAGCCGGCTTGGTTTTCAGAGATCTATTGTATTGCTTTCGTCGTATTGCTTTTCCTTGTTAATTTGAACCTGAGAGTACTTGACGTCTCATCTCTCCTGTGCGAAAACCTCTCTAGGCTCGCTCGGACTTCTCTCCCAAAGGTAAAGCTGTGAAATGCTTGGCGGCATGTCAAAACTGGCGCGATTCGTTTGTGAGAGACCATTTCCCATGCTTGCTGCGATTCCAGTGACTCTCGCTATTTGAGGATCGCCGGAAATTTCATTCCTGCAACGCCCTAATGAACCCTTCCCCCATTGTTCTGCTCCTAAGTAAGGAATCCATTCTGCGGTTGTTCGAAAGAAAACGTGCAAGATATCTACTACATTGGGGATAAGGACAGTTAAAGGTATTGTCCAGGTCAACCTTGGGTGGTGGGGTCTTGACGCTGTGGGGAAGCAAGGCTTATGACTAACGCAACAGTTCCAGATCGAAAAAGGTGAATTCTGATGCGAAAAAAGGTTCATTTTGCCGATCCACTCTGCCTTCAATGGATCCACAAAGAAGGGGCTGGGAACGGAAGTTCTGAACAAGTGATGGACGCTTCGAAATGACGCAATCTAATCACGAGTTTGAAAAAACTTTGAAGACGATTTAGAGGCGCAATTTTTTCTGCTGTAACCGAAGAAATTCATGCGAGTGCATCACCAGTTTTGAAACAAAGCTAATGTTTTTCTGCTCATTAACTGTTTGGAGTCATCAGTTGAGTTTGTTCGGGTTTTGCTGGAAAACAGGCTCAAATGTAACCTTTGATCCAATAGGATTGGCGGCTAGGAGACGCGGCTTTGTGACCTAATTAGAATCTCTCGCGCCGCTACGCAGTCTGCGTCTCTCCCACTCGCGTGCTTTCTCAATTACCTAGCCTTATCTATTTATTTATTTATTTATTTCAATACACTCATGGTGTGCCTAAATGAGAAAAAGAAGAAATAGACAAAGCAACTAGGTCACGAAGCTTCACCTTCCAGCCTAAGTTCAATCAAAAGGTACTCCTTGGTTCAAACTTCATTCATGTTACAAACTCACTTTGAGATGAAAGGGATGTGCAACTCATACTTTGGCTGGTATATGTTTTTAGAAATCTGCAGTACTTGAAGAACGGTATGAAGTACAAATTTGTATTATTTTATATCTGACCATGACAACAGCCGAAAATCGCAATTCTTGACATGCATCCTATTGTGCTCAAATTCCTTTTCTGCTTTCTATGGATATCTGATTATAAAATTTTTTCTGCTTGCATCTGTGCTTCTACTCTATATCTGTTTTTTGGTTGCCTAGACGCTACAAATAGAATATTCAATTTTTTATCAAAGGATTAAATTCATATGCGTAGGGAGAGGAAAACAAACCATTTTCGGTTGAGATACAGGTCAAATGTATCGATCAAATGAAATGGATATTCATCATGTCCCACTATGGAGTGACGCTAGTGACTTTTTCTTTTCTGCAAACAGGCTTTCTGGTACTGCGTATTAATAGTGAAACTTATGTGAGCGTGTACATACAGTATAGATCACAAATTCTTGAGTGCTTTGACTCCAAATCTTTGCTTTTTTTTGTTTGTTTTCGAAGCGCCACTTTATGTACCGTTGACGTGAAATCTTAATCGAGGGGGGTAATCGAGCATGCTGATCATCCCCAAGGGGGGTGATCAGCATGCTCGATTACACCCCTGTGCCAAATTCCAGCCCCCTAGCTCAAATTTTCAAAAAATCGATAAAATCGATAAAAGTAATGGACGATCTTGAAAACTAATATTGTATTCGTAATCTGCATGCTCGATTACCCCCTGTGCAAACTCCCAGCCCCGCAGGTCAAACTTTACAAAAAAATCGATAAAATCGATAAAAGTAATGGACGATCCTGAAAACTAATATTGTGTTCGTAATCAGCATGCTCGATTACCCCCCTGTGCAAAATCCCAGCCTCGCATGTCAAAATTTACAAAAAATCGATAAAATCAATAAAAGTAATCGATAATTCTGAAAACTAATATTGTATTCGGAATCCCCATGCTCACTTCCCCCCCTGTGCCAACTCCTAGCCCTGTAGGTGAACTCTGCAAAAAATCGATAAAAATCGGTAAAATCGACATCGATCGATAACGAAAAGTGGACTGTGACACCCGCCGGGGCCCGAAGTGTATGTGTGCCAAGTTTGGTCCGGATACGGCGGAGCCGGGTAAGCCAGCTAGTTCACTAACAATTTCAACTATTAAGTAGATTATTATTATTATTATTATTATTATCTAGACTTTACGGTGCTTTCCTCTTCCAAGCAAATCCTTATAAAATGACCAAAACGGGTTCATTATTTTCCGGATTTATCTCCAGTACCGCTCGGTTTTCTCTGCACAATATGTGATAAAGCGCCTCGTGTTGATTTTCCGGTCATGGAATTTGCGCTAAGTTTGCTGTATGGTTTCTTTCGGATTATAATTGCTTCTCTCAAATACCTCCCACACTTCCACTTTCACCAGCCCAGATTTTGCCATGAGAGCAATAATGGGTGCCTACGTGGGCATTATGGCTGCGTTTAGTCACTTTGACAACAAGTTTTTTTGATTGGTTCTGCTGAATTCTGTCTCTTTGTGAAATGTCTAACGTCTATATATGCAGTATTTGTCGTTAGCAACGTAATTTTTGCTTATCCACCATCCGTCTTTCAGGGAATATGCCTAAATGCCATCACTCGTAGCATTTGGTCGCAAATGGAACATAGCCAGTGATGACTTCGTCTTTCCGGAAATCACCGAGGTTTTAGTAAGACTATCATGGTGATTTTTTAAAAAATTTTCTATCAGTACTATATTTCGAATCACTTTGTCATTATCGCTATCATTCTACTTTTTTTAGTTAGTTCCATTAAAGGCGGTATGGAAAATTTTTTTCGAGGAGAGGGAAGGGGCGCGCATCAAAGCGTTAGCCACGCACTTTGAAAAAATTTCGGAAAGCTTTTCAAATTTTCTCTGGGCCTCTAATCCCAAATTTCAGAAAAGGGGAATTTTTATGAGACTAATTCAGATTTTCAAAAGATTAAAAAAATGTTCCAGTTATTTGAAAAAGATCTTTTCGGTTTAGGATGGCGTTTGCCTTTGCAGTGTTTATACTGCATTTTCCTCTGTCATGTTCGGGAAAGGATATGACGATGTCATTGCTGGCACTACTTATAGTCAACGGTGTGACAATAGTTTTAGGTGAGTTTAGTCTGAGCTGCTGAGGGCGTTCTAACTCATACATACTTTTTTTCAGCTTTTGTCATGGCTGGGATATCATCGAGAGGAACCATCATGAATACTTATCCTAGACGACACATTGCTACGCTCTTGTATATCAGGGTACCGCTTTATGTTCTTGAACTAGCACTCACCATCGTTTCGACCGTAGGTGCCCTTGGTGGGTGATTTCTGTAAAATTGTCCGTGTAGCTCAAAGACAGTTCAGCTACTTTTAGCACCAGACCCACCAGATTCTACCTGTCATTTCTCGAACATCTTGAAGGTAACAGTCGGTTTGGAATGGATAATGATTTTGTGCATGTTGATTGGCATGTTGATTGTATTCAACCCTGTAGATGAAAGTGATGTGGAAGACAGCACCATCATTGCGCGAAGGATTTGGTCCAGAAGATTCAGGATAGTAAGTATAGCTGATTTTACATTTGTGTGTTTTGACATTTTTTTCCGGCTTATTTTTTCATCAATGACGTCTGTGCTAAACAGCACCGTCAGTCCCGTTGTGCGTTACACTATTTCTCACTTTGTATTCATTTTATCCTCAAGCCTTCTTCTTTCCCAAAGTGATTTTTTATGCATGTTAGTTCCTCTCAACGCTGCCCCATGCAGGAACACTAACTACTTATATCATATATTGTGAGACTAAGAGATTCGAAAATGCTTTGCAGACATTATCCGAACAAATTTGAATTTGTTTTACCCCGTTCAGGTAGTAAAAGTCTTAGATGAGTTAGATAACAGTTATAAAGAAGTAAATCATAGCATCATGTTTGTTTTGCCGAGGTGTGCAAAGCGTCGAGTCTTAGTCACAGAATGAATGATACAAAAGATGGAATCAAAGTCCTGCACTTGCAAGAGGTGTGCCTACGGCTCGCTTCCAAGCATCTGCCTTGGCATTTGCGCACATTCACGACGGCTTTCGGGGAAGCCTTTCTAAGCCTTATCAAACTTTTTTGTGGAGGTAGAAAGTAGGGCTGGTGTGAGAACTAGGTAACACAAGTTAGGGGTTGATAACAAGTCAAAAGTACGTTGCTGCAAACTTGGCGCCACATGGCACCTTCCGGCGGATGTGGCTTAGGCACACAGCAGAATAAAATACTACTGGTTGACTAGTCTTTTCCATATTTGTACATGACGTTTAGTTCACTATAAGACGAGGTGAGTCAATGAGAACAGCGATGGATGATGTTGCCAACGTGGTCGGGTCGTTCTTCGCCGACGTCGATATCGTGTTCAGTGACGTTCTCGCGGGACTTTTCCTCACAATACACTCGCCCGCTAATGTCTATCCCCCGCTTGTACCCAAAAATGGAGGTCAGTAATGGCTGAAGTTTTATTTGATGGAAGTTTACTCAAGTTCGTCTTTCAGATCGTCCTGAATGGATGACTCTGGAGAATGCCTTACATTTCGCACATTTCGCTTCCTGTGTCTATGGCTGGCCTACATATCTGCTGCATAATCTTGGTATCAGACCAGCGTACAAGCTGTTCCGAAGACTACAGTGTTGCGGAAGACTTCGTTGTGATCAGGTTAGTTGTGTTGCACCTGCTTACGTTTATAGCACATCTTGGGTTTCTGGGTGTAATTTTGACCTTTTGCTCTGCGTATGGAACTTGGCTTACACACGTTGCGGATGGAAAGCATCAAATATATCCTGCAGATTTCTAATAACATTCGGCGTCATTCCGCTGTCCGCTCCCCAAAAAATTCTAGGGAATTGCTCGTATCTCTGGGCTCAATTTATGGGGCTGAAATGGCACTTGTATCAATGAGTCTCTTTCCGTTATTTATGATTTTCTAACCTCTTCTTATACTCATGGTAACTTCCGAAGATAGTCGATATATTGCTATGTAGTGTTTTGGGGTTTGAAGAACGGAACAGCGCCGAGGTTTCTATTCTGCCCATATTTACTTTGTGTTCATGTTGCTGTAACTACGCTTCGATTTTTTGTTTTTCTCGTGTGCTCTTGCTGATGGGCAGTAATCTCACATCCGGTCATCCGATGATACAAATCTATATTTTTCCATGCACCTGCATTTTTCTTTTGTGCTTCCTTCGCGAACTCAGACGTTACTATCCTACTCTCTTCCAAGTAGCTGAATTTCTTTTTAGTAGCAATCAAGTGTTTACGCGACTGTGCATGTCTGCTTTCTCGTTTGCAGGACCATCTTATCTGGTTAGAATATTATTGTGAATTTGAACACAAATTCTAAGCAAAATGTCACGAGAAACCCGCTTAGTCTTTATCGGTATATAGATTTCGACTAAAATTTCTTGATAGTTTCCAAAGCTGCGGAACATCTCAGATAAATTTCATTCAGTTTCCGTAAATATTCCTTACAAACTTGTATGCGCTCGGATATAGTTGGTATTTATTACCTGTATGACGCCCACTCAAAGCTCAAAGCTCAAGTATTTGTCCGTATTGACAATTTTCAGAACGATTATCTCTGAAATGCAGATGTTATGTTGCTGGATGTCTCAGTTTTTAGCTCATACCTCGTTTTTTTTGTGTACTCATCCTTTAACAAATCTTCTGCTTTGGATGATAACGCCCTGTTAAGAACGCTTTCACTACTATCACTGTCTGCTTTTGAGGCCTGCCTCGACCTTCAAAACGTTTTTTTGCTGCTTTTGCTTCATTTGTTGGCTGGTCGGTACGTGTAGTTTTCTAGAAAGAAAGTGCTGATGTACCCATGCGTGACTTCGGTAAGGACGGTGCAGTAGCTGATCGAAGCCTGTCTAAATTGATTAAGAAGGTCAGATTTGTGTTGTAAATGTGAAGTCTTTATCATGTGGGTGGTTAGAAGTGCTCTTGAACGGTAAATAATGAGTAGGACAACTCATTCACTATGTCACAGCTCGAAAATTTTCACCCATTTCCCAGATGTGTCTATTATGGTCGTCATTTGAAATTTATAGGTGCTCGTCATCGAGGACAACTGTTGTTTCTGTAATACGGCGGCATTCACATTATTTAATGAAGACAAAAATATCGATCTATTCTTTGTTTCGTTTCGAAATCAGCTTTATGAGGTAAGTCACTCTCACCTGTGTCGGTATTTATTAATCCCGATTTTGATTGGGTGCTCTTTTATTGTTATAAACGCGCCCGATCGGGCGGTGATAAACGCACCTGAACTACTGCACGTCTGCACCAGTCTTACTAAAATTATACTTCTGCAAAAAATAGGTGTTCTGTTTCACTGATCCCCTTCATCATTGTACGACTGCGGTAGGAACTTCCCCATTAGGCGCCATTATTTAGTTGATGTAAGATCAAGAAAATCTTGGAAATTTCTTTGAATTTAGGTCATTTAAAAAATCATGACGACGGATTTGACTGCGGACTTTACGCCGACACCTACCATAAAATGCTCATACAAAAAGGCATCACCTCAAAGTTTAGCTCAGGCATTTTCAGTGTCTAAGTTCTGTCATATGTAAGCAGAAACACCATTCGAATAGAAATGAAAACCTAAAAAATGCGATTTCCGGGAGGTGCGTGCGTGTCGCGCCATTGTCACGATTTTCGAATGCCCTATACACAATTTTGCGCGGAGAAAGTGTGATATCCGTTAGCGTGTCAATAAACTCCATAAACGAAGTTTGAGCAACATCGATAAAATTTGGCCAGGATAGCCGAATATCGCCCATAAAACAATCAAACAATCAAAAAATCAAGAGATTCTATCGAAAATCGGACCCTTAATATGAAGCCCTATGCTGTCTGCATCGTTCCCATGGCAAAATATCTTATAAAATTACTATCTCAATCCAGGTTCCTTTTGTGGTGTTGGCGGATCACGAAAGCCGCAGTATTGTGATAACCATACGTGGATCATGTTCACTTGTGGATCTCGTTACAGATTTATGCTTAGGTATGCTTACTTGTTTCTGAAGTAGCATTTGATGTGCGTTTGTATAGTCAAGTATAGTTTTTTAGACGACGAAGTGTTGTCGGTAGATGTCGATGCTGATCCTCTACTACGTACTGATCCAAGCCTAGATGGAGAGGGCGAAGTTCGAGTTCACCGTGGTATGCTGATGAGCGCTCGCTATGTTTACGATACACTGAGGTGCATTTTGGTTGCAGTTGTATCTGCAGTCCTCGTTTGAAATATTTCATTCGTTGTAGGAAGCATCAAGTTCTTGAAGATCTCGCTGTTTTGAACACGGGTTATCAGCTGGTCGTTTGTGGTCATTCATTAGGTGCAGGAGTTGCCTCACTTGTGACTTTGTTATTGAAGTGAGTAACTTCATAAGCGCACCTTTCAATTGCTGATCGGAATCTAGGCAAGATTATCCGAATGTGAGATGCTTTGCATTCGCGCCACCGGGTTGTGTCATCACAGAAAATGGATTGCATGAGCTGGAAGAACATGTATTTGGAATAGTTGCCGGAGATGACCTTGTCTCTAGGATATCATTCCATGTAAGTATCTTCTACGTAGAGTTTTACCTTTCGAAATCCGGATATGAAGTATCTAGAAATCCGTGAGCTTTCAGAATTTTGATTGTTTTGTCAACCTCTTCTTTCAAGAATGCACTAGCTTTTTTCTAATTACGCAACTGCACGTTTCTTTTTTTTTCTTTCAGGCCTTGCATCGCTTACGGGTGAAAGTTGCGGCAGAGTTGGATGCATGTACGAAAGCTAAATACGAAATATTGATCCGAGGAATTTTCCGACTATTTTTCACTACTGCATGGGAAAGTGGTCCACTGTCTGGCGAAAGTGAGTTGCTCTTGCAATGTTGCTGAAAACTGTGATTTTTCGAAGTGGTCTACATGATTCTATGAGCATGCAAGTAGTTTCATTCTGATTGTTAGCAATTAAAAAAAATTGCCTAGCATTTTTTTGCATCCCAAAATCAAAACTACAAAATTGAAATGATCCTGTGGAACCTGTAGGAATTGACTTCACTTTGAAGTTTCCAAAGCCATGATGCTCAAAACTGCGATATGAACGCGGAATTCGGAAGCCTTCCAGTAATTTCTCCGTGGTGATGCCAGAACCTTTCTCTAATTTTTATTTGTTCTGTTGTCCTGGTTTTTTTTCTTTAAAACTTACCACTAATTTTGAGGTTTTTACAGCCGTCTTTTAGCACCATTGCTTGCAAAAATTGCGGAATGTATTTGCATAAGTGTCGCCAAATTTCGATCATCCAATATTCTCTAGCTTCACCTGCGTCGAAAATTAGGTTCAAGGTTTTGGGCACAGTCGACTGTCATGGAGCAAAAGTGCAGAGTCTTCCACTTGAGAGAAGTTGTGAAAGTTGGTAAAATCTGACTAAAGAGATCTGAATTGATGCACCTCAAAAAATCATGAGCATGTGCATTGATAATGATTTATACCGAGAGGGTGCTATACGGAGACGTCGCTAGCGATCTAGTTTGTTCATTGAGTGATGCTCAGGGAAAAACGAAAAAAACCCTATTGACTCATATTGCTTTTTGCTTGCTCAAAAATAGTTTAAAGAAGGAAGTTTTAATTCTCTGTCCGCATCATTGACATTTAGGTATACTCAACGATCGTGTCAATTTGATACCCGAAGGAGGTGCGGCTGCGAACGGCAGCACCTACGGAACAGCGGCGGCGGTTGCGATCCCTAGTTCTGCGACAGCGATTACTCTGGCGACAGCGCAAAGATTATCGTCTAGAGTTCAGGTATTAGCTTTGAACTTAACTAATTTTGGTTCAAATATGACGTGAGTAGGGCTTATTTTTGAGAGTTTCGCTAAGTAAAATTCATTCACAAAAGGTATTTTTATAATCGCTTTACAGCTTTATGCGCCAGGAAAACTTCTTCACATCGCAGAAGATGAGAGTAAAGAAGATGGTGTTGCGTGCGAATGGATAGATCCGAAGTGAGTTGAAGTTGACTTATGTAAATTTCGTAGATTGGCAGATCTTTTGTCTTCATGTTCGTCATAATTCTAAATGTGCATAAGTGCAGGCTTGCTTTAACTAGAATGTATGAGAAGCAGCCAGCCTGTTGTCATTATGATATGATCCCTATGGGGTTTTATCACATCTGTTTCATTATCCTGTCGTCACTTTTGAGACGAAAACCAGTCAAAAACCACTTCTAAAACTTAAAGTTTAAAAAAAACGCAGATTGAGGGTAGCTTATTCTCCTGTTTTTTAATGTAGATTTGTTCCGTTCATAACCTGATAGAGCAGAGTTCCAGCGCTACATTTAGGAATTTCGTGATGCATAACCATAATTGGTGAGAGTTGAAATCTCACAAATCGGTACCATTGTTGGTCAGTAATGATATGTTAAACACGTAAAACGATTTGAAGAGTTTTATTTTTCTTAAGAAAACTGATGTGATAAGGGCCGCATACATGGATGAAAGGAGGCTTTCCCCAATCCAAAGTGTTGCATTATCTCCTGTTGATCCACGACTGGCCGCATTCTCACGTTGCGAGGCCAGTGGGGACATCGAAAAGATTTGCTGAATATGTGATCCAATTAGGCTAAGTATATTTATCTTGAGAACAAATTGGGAACAGGCTGATAAGATTTAACACAAAGTCCAAGTCGTGATCATCAGTATAAAAAAAATCTCTTTACACTGATACTGGATCCTGTCGAAACTGTCAAGTCCAGGAGGTGCACTCTCCTGACTTGAATTCTTTACCCTGATTGTCTTACTCAGTGAACATAACATTTGTGACTAGAATCTTCATTATATATTGCTAAAAGGTAGAGAAAGGGGAAGGGTAACCGCCGGTCACCCGGTTAGGCACAGCTCATCTGGAGTTGTTGAGCACCGCCCAGTTGGCGTGGGGACTGTCGGACCATCTAATTGTCTGCGTCTCGATAAGACTTTTGCTCGCTCAACTAGTTCTGGTACATCTTTGCCATGTTTTAGCTTCATAGAACGCCAAATAATTTGAAGGAAAAAGCGATGAGTTGTTGGGAATCGGCAGGCAGTTGGGAATTGGCAGTTAATACTAGGGCTCGACACGAGCTGGAACCCGGGAATTTTCAAGGCGAAGTTCCCCTTGATTTTTGCTGTTTTACGAACTCCCCTTTGACCCGAAACTTTGAAGTTAAAAAACCCTTAAAAAACGAAACGTCGACTCAAAAAAACGTCGCAATTTGACAGAAACGATATCCCCTTTGCTTCTTGTCCCAGAAACGATTCTCAGCTTACTCTGCCAGCTGATACCAGACCCTCAGTTATACAAAGCTCTTGAAATTTGCGTTGCTATAATATCACGGTCTTCAACAAATGTATAGTAGAATTAGAGTCACCACAAATTTGACCGAAGCACGACGAATCTAGATCTTTTACAAGACATCGATCCCTTCGCAGGCAAAAATTAGCATGCATGCGGCCCAAGGCGTTTGTATGCTCCAAGTCCCTGCGGCGAGGGGCATCAAGCCAATAAATCTGTACATTTTTAATGACCTGTCAAATGTAGAATCTGTAGCTTTGATATTTAGTATAATGCCCTTGCGTTGGCGAAAGTACACGCGGGAAAAAACTTCTATGCTTGTAGTGGTTGACAATGCTTGCGAATAAAAAATACCCTAATTTCACGCGTACAAGGGGGGTTTTTTTTCCAAAATCGACCACCCCAAATACACCAAAGAACTTCGCAACCAAAGGACCCTATGCCTTGGTGTATATTGCTTAAGAGAATCGTACGGCATAAGGATCGCTTTATGAAATAGTGAAATTAGGGTAGTCATGGTGCACATTTAAGTTTTCCTCTGGCCATATCTCACTCGCAGGTGATGTCGACAGCGCCGAGACGTTATATTGACTGCCAAATCTGTTCCTATGGTCTGAGACTACTTGCGGTTTTTACTAGCTGCCTCTTCCCCTTCTTCTCACGTTATAATAAGATCTGCTGCATGAATCACATGCATCAGAAAAACAAACCTTGCTTTCCTTGTCTCAGGATAAGATTTCTTCGAAATCATTTTTGCTTGTCTTATCTGATCATTGGATTTGCGGAATAATCCCATCACTGTTGGTGCAGGATTCTTATTTTTTTTTCCATAGAACGGATTTTGTTAGGAAAACTTGGAGGAGTTTACCCTGACAGCATTGTGCACAATCAGCATTATTTTCTTCCATTCAGTTTTGGAATTAACCACATCTAAACCATGTTAGCTATAATGAATGGCTGTTTTTTTTTGTGATCAGGCTTTTTAGTTGAAAGTTCAGCCAAAAATTCGGCAGCTCTTTTCCCTTGTATTTCTCATGCAGTTTTTTTTTGTTCAAATGAACAGGTGATATAACGCAGACAGATAATCGATTGAGCACAGCTTCCTTCTTATTTTCTGAGCGCACATGTTTTTTCTTTGTTGGCGGAATCTGCATGATTAATCACACGAAGTAAGGACAGAAATTATTCAGGCCACTGGACTTGGTAATTCATTGCCATGGATTTAAATTGTTGATTTTATGTTTCTGTTTTCTTTGTTGGACCTTAAGTCGATTAAAATCAGTCGAATGCACTTTTTCTCAACAATGTTCAATAGTAAAGGCCGAAAAGATTATAGTCTCATAGATAAACAAGGGCGCAGCGATGTGGATACGTCCCTAGCGAATTCGTTACTTTTTTAACTTCTGAATGGTTTTGGCATATATGGTCAACTTTGTGCAGGCTTGTGAATAATTGTCTTTCGGGTGATATACATTGCCGATATATATATATATCCATTCATCTAGGAATTACTCTAAAGGGCCGGACATATCACGCGATTTTAGGTGCGACGCGATCTGGCAATATTCCGACTGCCCATAACTCACTGTAGGCACATTTTAACCCATTGTCGACTATGTGGACCACCGGTGGCCCACGTACTTTTTGCCGCCAGGGACGATGTGGACCACCGGTGGCCCGCACACCTTGCAAAATCATATTCTTTCCAGGTCTAGTATTTTTTCCAAAGTTCATCATTTTTTCCAGTTCTTTGCACTATTGGAACCTATAGACTTCGTCGTCCAAGAAGATGGCTGTAGTGGCTTACAAAACATTTTTACATTTCGTAAATAATCACAAAACTTCCCCCCATCGCAAATGTCGTGCAAAATCGCGTCGTCCCACAACGCCGCCACGCAAAATTAGGCGTCATCGTCAATGGGTTAATTGTACACGATAGCGCATTTTATCGGTCCACATAAGTTATACACACTTTGCGTGTGCAGTTTACTAGTTTCGGATCTGGAGACTTCTGGCGAATTGCCAAATCCCGTCGCGACCAATCGCGTGAAGTATGCCGGCCCTTACGGCGGTAAGCAATTCTGTACATTCATATAATCGTAATTCACCTGTTGCAGGGAATACAATGCTAGCGGTAGTAAAGTTTTTGGACCAAAAATAGTCGGTCCATTGTAGCGCTGTTGTAAGTCAGGGCCCGGCACGAGGTCGGCAAATGACAAGCTGGAAATCGTTCTGAGGCCAAAAAGCAAAGGGGAAATCGTTTTTGCGGGGTCCGGGGCAGAGCCCCGGAAAAAATTGGTAGTTCATGCTCGCTACTTATCTTGACATGTTATGTGCCTCAACAGGCGAACACTGGAGTTCGCGCGCGTCAAACCGCGCCGTCGCTAAGTGCCGCACGCGCGACGTCGCCTAAGCGATGCTATTTGTAACTGCATTCATGACTAGTTCTCAATGTGTGTAAAACGATATGGCACCAAATTTTGTGTGCGAACGGACAGAGGCTAGTGGAAACATAGTATGAGAAATTATGAAAAACTTATGTGAACGGAACGAGTAATTAGCATTTTTTCCGAGAATTTCGCAAAACTGGTAAATGAAAATGTGAATTTAAACGGCTCGTTTGGAAAGCGCAGATGAACGATATGGTATGAAACTTGGTAAGTACATGCACACGGGCTTGCAGGACTTAACTGAGGAGTTTCATTGAGAAATTATGTGACTGAAGGTTGTGGCAAACTTTTATCTGGAAATTTTGCGCTACCAAAGAAATGGAAAAATGGCTCGTTTGCAACGCAGAGGTAACGAAATCGCGCGGGCTTCGGTGTGTATATGCGCAATAGGACTAAGTAATAAAGTATGAAATATTATGAAAAAGTTATGTGAATGAAGAGTTTCCTTAACTTATTTCCAAATTAGGTCGGCATTTGCCGACCTAATTCCCACCTGAGGTCGGCAAAACTCTCAATTCACATAATTTTCTCAAAATGTTTACATAAATCTGTTGTACACCTAAAGTTTACTACATGGTGAAATTTTGGTTCCGAAAGTCCTCCTCTTGTCCTTGTTGGAGCCCAAAATGGCATCAGCAGCCCAGCTTTCTAAGATAGAAAGCGCGCCCCAGTCAATCGATACGCGCGGGAACGGCGTCTCTCATTCCTATGACTGCGTTTCTTTGATATTTTCTCATTCCCTAATCCTTTTTACTGCTTATTTTTCTTCCTGTTTCCTATCTTGGTACAGCAATTTGAGTAATATGAGGAATTTGAGCAATTTGGGCGCTTTTGAGCGCTTTTAGGCGAAGTGTGGCCGGTAATCTCGTCGCACAAGCACAAAACGTCATTGGGCTCAAGGGAGTATTCGTAAAACTTACTGGGATCAAAGGGGTATTCGTTTTGGAAAACCCCGTTTGCCCACCTTGTGCCGGGCCCTGTTGTAAGTGGTCTTTAGAGAAAATTTTGCTAAATTTATACGGCCCGTGATCGCTGAGTCAATTTCTGTTCACTCGCGCTAATTTTCCGCTTGAGGGTGCGAATCCTTACACTGGTGTTGTTCATTGTTTGAGCTGGAGCTAATTTCGATGACATTGTTAAGAGTCGCCATGACGTCGTGAAGAGTCTTTTTTCTCACCCCCAGTTAGGGTAGATTTTGTATATTTGTCTATCCTTAAAAATAGAAAGCGAGCAATGAGTACATGAGCTGTTTTCGGAATGATTTTGACTGTACTAGAGTGCCTAGCAATAATTAGGTGGATTTTGCTGCTGTCGAAAAAAAAATCGCTGCATGATATATTTTGAAAGACTCAAACAACTTGGAATCGTGACCTTTGTGACAGACAATCTCTCCTGCGTTTCATTAATCTTTATGATTTTCCATACTCTTTTTGATCGAGTAACATCAAGATAAGGCTACGATCGCCATCATCAATTGGAGATATGTATGAGTGGGAAAAAATCAGTTTGATTTGTGTTTCGAACATTCATAATCCTTTAGAAGGGTGATGGTAAGATTGCATTACCGGTTTGCATACAATAGTTTTGAGATGAAGGGCACCTTCCGCTTCAATCTGGGGATGATTTGATTGCGATACAGTATATCGAGACTTTTGAATAAATGGTTGACAATTAGATTTCGAAACTTCGGAAAATAGAAGGTAAAAAAAAATAAAAACTGCTTTGGAAAATAGGTAAGGTAGGTTTGCCTCACTCATAAACGCGGTTGATCTGAAGGTAATGAGCCCAATACAGAACTATGAAGTAAGTACCTAGGACTGTCGAAAATCCGCTTCTTGTAACTCAGGATGCCCTTCTAGACTCATCACCTTCCCGCCATCCAAGTTGGTGGGCGAAGCGACCTCTGTTGCATCCAGGGCTCGGCACGAGGTGGCTAGATGAAAATGGAAAAAACGAAGTCCCCCTTGACTTTTGGGAATTTTTACGAAGTCCCCTTTGACCCTCAACCAAATTTCCTCTAAAAACCTGAAAAATTCCCCAAAATCCCCCAAAAAACGAAACGTCGACTAAAAAAAAAGGTCGCCGACGCCAATTTTCCGTGTCTCTTCGGTCACAAAAACGAAACCCCCTTTGCTTTTCGTCCCAAAAACGATATCCAGCTTGCTTGTAAGCCACCTCGTGCCGAGCCCTGGTTGCATCTCCTTTCTGGAGCGGTTTCTCAGCTTCGTAACTTGTCTTATGCTGCGCAATTCGGGCTTTTTGCTCATTCAGGCGAAACCATCATATAGCGTGAAAATCTAGTGTTATTAGCTTTTCTGTTGCAAGTACGCATAAGGCAAAGAAGTCGCTTTCTGAGTCCATTCAGGTCCTGGTCGAATCTACGTTTTGCATACTTCCAGATGCCTGTCCGACATCATCCTCACGGCATCTGCAATCACGGATCATCTGCCGAAAAACATCGAGCGACTGCTCGAAAAGGTCATCGCAGCGAAGGGCACGCCGGTGGTCGTTCCGTCGGCAGGCAGTGAGGACAGCGGCAGCAGCCCCGGGACGAACCGAGCCGGGCCTGCGAACGCATCGAGTGCGAGGACCACGCCTCCTCGAGTGGTCGTCACCCAGCCACGAGCCTCATCCCGATGACCGGCCCTCTTGCGCCGTTTCTGTTTTTTCCGCCTCGTGGGTTCCATATAAACTGGCGCTAGCAGCTTCTCTGTACTTAAATCTGCACGAGTGTGGTTTATTTTTACTCATTTTCCGAGCAAATTTTTAATGCTGCGCTGTTCATTAGCTTAGGCCTCCCCCCTTGGTCTTGACCAAAATTCAATTATAAAGTATGGGTATCAAGTGCAGTATGGTCGAGAGCTTATCAGAGTCTTTTTTTTTACTATATATCTTCTCTTATCTGCCCTTTCTTCATGGCAGTGAGGCTGTCATCTGACATGTGAACAGAGCCTTTTTATATTCTTTTTTTTTCTGCATTCTAAATTTGAAAGAAACGTGATTTTTGAATCACAGCGCCTTTATTCACTTGTCTTACAAAAGTCACATGAAGAGTGAGAAATAAAAGGAGCAAAATTTTGAAATTTTTGGTACTGTTTGGTTAACCCCCTACACTTTCTTTGTTCAGTACAGATTTTTCTGAATCAGGTTGCTGTGGTTCAAAAAACTTTGTCTACAGTGTAAGTGTTGTAATAATAGCTTGCAAAAAGGTTTGTTTTTCTTTTCCGAGAGCATTGAATAGACGAAAAGTGCAATAGTTTTGCAGGATGTTTTGGAGTATTATATGAACTAAGCGGATTTAGTGGGGAAGTAGTGTTTTTTTTGACAAGAGAAGAAAAATTTTTGCACTTATATATAGGTTTCAAAGTCTAATTTTTCGAGTTATTTTCTTGATTACGAGTGCGAGATTTGTAATATTTTTCTTAACATCGCAAAATTGGTGAGGTTGTAGAAGGTGTAAATTAGAAACCATGCTTCGACTTGCACTTGAGAGGAAGTAAGCTTATAAAAATATGGCAGCTGTAATACTACTCTTTCCAAATTTGTATTGCTTAAAGGCCAGGCATACTTCACGCGATTTCAGTCGCGGCGCGATCTGGCAATGTTCCAACTGTCCATAACTCACAATAAGCACATCTCAAATGTACAGAAGATAGAGCATTTTATCAATCTACATAAGTTATACTCACTACGCATGTGCAGTTTGCTAGTGTTGGATCTGAAGACTTCTGGCGAATTGCCAAATTGCATCGCGACTGAAATCGCGTGAAGTATGCCCGCCCCTTTACCCACGGCTCGTTTAAGAAAACTCTAGGTGCAACCACTCATAATAAATATACAGCTTCTGGTTGGCGTACTATTTAATAACTTGTGTAGAGCAGAATTTGAGAAGTTTTACCGCTTTTATTACTTCCTTTGGCTGTATAGTATGTGATATGAGCATAATTTCTAGTCTTCGGTGTATATCTTCCCATCCATCTCCGCTTAATCTTGCGCAAATCTGGTAATTCCATGTTATTCGACTACTCGTAAATATAATAATTGTAATGCATCGATCAGTGTTGTTTTATATCATTCTTTTGCGTAGGGTCTTCAATAAATCCTTGCCCTTCCTGGTCTTCTTAAAAATGCAAGTTTTTTTTGCCTTAATTTTACATATGTTTTTCTTTTGCCCGATCTTGTCGCATCGTAGATGTTTTAGTCCAATTTTTCTGTGGTTTCTCTGACTTAATTCTTCTCTAGCAGTTTTTCCTGTCAATCAGATTTTCGCTTAATAAGTCCTAGTCAAGTTTGGCAAGCATCCGCTAGAAACAGACTCAGTCCGGAAATTTATGCAAAAATCCTCCTCGTTCCTGATTGGACGTTATCCCTTTTATCCGAAGCTCATTGGTCGATGCATAATCGAACTTAACTCGCTTTGATTGTGACTAGATCAAAAGTCAGTGCTGTTGATTATATGGTGTCTTGTTGCTCTATCAGTTCTTCTTAATAATTTTGTGAGTTTTCATAGCCTAACGAATGAATGAATATCTGTTTGATTGAAATCGTTGTTGACTCTATGAAACCTTATACGGTAAATTTACCGTATATTTTTTTTAGATGAACGACATAGATCTAAGCCGTGCGGAACCTGGAGATCTAGTTTTTCTGGCTAAAAACGAAACTTCGTGCGATTTTGAGCGAGCAGTTACTGATGTGGCCTCTTCGCCCTACTATCATGTGGGCATTATAGCTCGGGATAGGCGAATTGTGCACGCTTTACCTCGCGGAGTACTGCATCAAAGTTTGGACGAGATCCTGGCTGACGCTGAGCCTGATCGAATTGAAATTGTGCATGTAAACACGTACGGGACCGCAAAAACCAAGGCAGCAGCCTATGCAGAGGGAAAAGTTGGCATGCCTTACAACGATATTTTCGCGCCCGATTGTATAAACTCTGATGGCGTAGAGTCGTATTACTGTAGCCAACTTGTTACCGAAGCTTATCTCGATGAAATTGAATTCCCCGAGCATAAGCTAAATTTCAAAGATGAGCATGGCCACATGTTGGATTATTGGGTGCAGTACTTCGAAGAAAGAGGCAAACATATTCCACAAGATGAACCCGGCTCTCATCCAGCATCCATACGTAGGGCCGCGCAGCTTGAAATGCGATTGACGCGACATCTCCAGAAGTATATGCTAGATGCCAAGAATATTGTCGATACTCTTCATTTTGTTGGTGGAGCCCGAGTGAATCTGAATGCAGGGCAGACTTTCGATGTCGTCGAGCCAAGAAGTGGTGAGTTGGAATTTTTTGCACTATTTTGTTACGTCAAAGTGTTATTCTCGTTACTGCCGCTTCGCATGCCTCTCGCGCCTTCGCGCTGCCTTTGGCCGCCAAAACATGTCAAACTTGTCGCTTCTGTACTAATGCGTGAAAGGCAGGAAGTGAACTGCGTTGCGGTGGCACCTATGAAAAGAATCTAATTATTAGGAATCAGATTTATCACGTGATGTTCTTGTGGTATTTGATCTCTTTTCCTTGCTTCCTTCTTATCTCTTAACAGTTATTTTTCCCAGTAGTTTTTGGCTAACAAGCTGTGAATTATCGGTCTCACTATCACACTGCTAGGAGAAAAAGTAGCATTCTTTCCCCTTCGAGCCCTGGCACTAGATTATTTTTTATATTTGTTTTTTTTAGGGAAAGTCATGGCAAAATGTCATGCTGCCACTGCCGATGAGGTGACAAATGCGGTACAAACTGCTCACAAAACTCTACCAAAGTGGGCTGGTAAGACCTGGCTGGAGCGAGGAGACGTTCTACGAAATACAGCTGAGGTGAATCGAGATTAAAAAGAGCTCTAATTTAGACCACCTACCTGTAAATATGTCAATGTTGGCTTCTTCTTCATATAGCGTCTAAAATTGTCCGCGTGCCAATGCCGTGCCAGATTCCACGGGCACGCGACCCATATTGATCGATCCACTTTCGGCACGGGGCAGGCACGACACGGCACGGAACACTATGGACGCAGCCACATTTTGTGGTTCAAAATAATACTGTCATTATATCCACGTTCTGCTCCTCCCCCTCAATCTCTGATACTGTTCCTCTTCTTCTGCTGTTTTTTTTCAGAAGATTGCAAAGAATTGATTGTTCCCTCGTTCCCTGCCACTATTCTTTTTATAGCTGTTGGGAAAACACTGTGAAGAAATTGCTCACTGGGAGTGCATTGACAATGGCAAACCGATCACGGAGGCTCGAATGGATGTACTCAGCTGCATCGAAACCTTCAAGTATTATGCTGGAGCAGGTGTGTTCTACATCTTAGAATTGTTTTTGTCATACTTTCGAACTACGTTGGCCTAGGTCAATCACTTGTTGGACAGCATATCTCGCTTGGCAACGATCGATTTGCGTACACGAAAAGAGAACCACTCGGAGTTGTAGGATGCATAGGTTAGTAGCAGTGGCGTACCGAGGGGGGGGGGGCCCCCCCCCGAGAACGGGTCGCGAAATTTTTGAAACTTACGTGGGTTATAAAATCGTGCAAATGACTTGTCTGTACTTGTGAATAATTAAAATAATTTTTAAAAATTTTTAAAAATTCATTTTAGCCTTATAAAAAAATTTTTTTCGGGGGCGTGGTTAACGCCACGCCCCCTTTTTCCAGATTTTAGGGGTCGGGGACCCGCAGAAATTCTGAGAAGCACCCCAAAAAATTTTTCGGAGTGCGTGGCTAACGCCACGCACCTTCTTTAGAAAAAAATTTTTGTCGCCCCCCCCCCCCCCGAGCCGAAATCCTGGGTCCACTGGTTAGTAGTAATGTTTTATTACGGGATTATAAAAATTATGGGCTATTTCACTGTGTAAGCTCCATAAGCTGTGAGTGATCAAATTAATGTTCGGCTCACATTGTGACCTCCATGGACAGGGGCGCCTTTCTTTTTTTCTTCTTATGTATGCGTTTTTCGGTACGGAATGGGTGGTGCCTCTCTAGCGCACGTGTCGCTCTTTGATAGGTGACTAATGGCAGTCTGCCCATACCATGAAAATCATAGAACATTCTCCATTGATTTCTCCTCTAAAGGAGAGTGGGCAAATGAGAAATGGGCAGAAGTCCAAAAGCTTTGCTTGAGATTATGATCTGTCAACGGACACACAAGGCCGATACTCCGGTTTAGAGTGGGCAAAGATCCTTTTAGCGGAAATTTTCACCTATTATGTTTGGAGCAGAAAATTAAGATTATTCGCGTGAAAAAAATAAGTTAATGTTATTAGGAAAAAATATATTAGGTTGTGTAATAAGTTCTGTCCCATTTTTTCTTTTGATTTTTTCTCCATATTTTGCGCGATGCTCTGCAAATTGTCTTCATGCATTTGAAAGCTCTAAGCCTTCTCTACTAGAACTTTCATCTCGGTTTTTTACACCAGAAGACTTGAAAAAGTTTTACAGCGTCAAATTTGGAAAATCAAACAGGGAAAAAGTCCATTTTCGACAACTACATTACGTCGCCCTCCTAATTAGTCAGAATGCCCAGGAATGAGCTCGAAGAATTTGCTACACGTAAGCAAAGAATGCTCTAGCTTCTACTGCGCTTCAATAGTGCTGAAACTTTTCAAAAATCATCTCTGTAGATTTTTTAAAAAAGTCTTCTTTCTAACGCCTTTTCAACGTTGGTGTTGGGCATCATCTGAAGGATTCTGAGGGAACACGTTAGGCGGATCATCCAGAAAAGACAGAATGGATGGTTTGTGGCTTCAAAATTATTGAATTCATAGGTTGAATACTCAAAATTCGAACTTTGGGAGCCACACAGCTTGGATACGCGAGACGGCGAACATCGCCGTGACAAAGTCTTGCCTTGCCGACTTTTGAAAAAAATGTCATCAAATAGCCGGTGGAAGGAAGGGAACATGAAACAGTGATAGAATAAGTGTAAAAGTCTAATAGAGTGTTTTGGTTGTTGTCAAGCTTGTTTAATAAGTTTTACCGATAAAAATCGAGAAAAATTTGGAGGAAAAAAGATGTCGAAAATTGATTTTTCGGCTCTTTGGATTTTTTGTTTCATGATAAAAATTTTTTCCATTTTCCTGCTATGTTGGGGAATGATGCATATGAGCCTGCAGAGCAGACTTAGAGCTTTCAAAAGCATATACATTTTGTCTCAAACTTAGTCAATGTTGTCAAGATAAAATTAAAACAAAAAATGGGACAGAACTTATTACACAACCTAATAGGAAGTTAATGGTATTATCTTTCTGCTGCAAACACAGGCTACAGAAATTTCATGTCTTCAAATATTGTTCAAGAGACTCCCAGATTTTTCTATCGCTTATCACGTTTTAAAATTTTGTAAGTACGCGATGATTGACAGCCGATTAATATGAATTGTGTGACGAAAGCGCGAACAGTGCACAGTGATTGATAGTGTGAATATTCTCCCTTCTATAAAGTGTGAAGAAAAAAAGGAATAAAAGCGCGTTAATTGTATCTGCCTATCAATCATACTACCTTGTAACTCAAAATCAAGGCTCATATACCTCACTAGCTGGCTTACCCGGCTCCGCCGTATCCGGACCAAACTTGGCACACATACACTTCGGGCTCCGGCGGGTGTCACAGTCCACTTTTCGTTATCGATCGATGTCGATTTTACCGATTTTTATCGATTTTTTCGCAGAGTTCACCTACAGGGCTAGGAGTTGGCACAGGGGGGAAGTGAGCATGGGGATTCCGAATACAATATTAGTTTTCAGAATTATCGGTTACTTTTATTGATTTTCTCGATTTTTTGTAAATTTTGACATGCGAGGCTGGGATTTTGCACAGGGGGGTAATCAAGCATGCTGATTACGAACACAATATTAGTTTTCAGGATCGTCCATTACTTTTATCGATTTTATCGATTTTTTTGTAAAGTTTGACCTGCGGGGCTGGGAGTTTGCACAGGGGGTAATCGAGCATGCAGATTACGAATACAATATTAGTTTTCAAGATCGTCCATTACTTTTATCGATTTTATCGATTTTTTGAAAATTTGAGCTAGGGGGCTGGAATTTGGCACAGGGGTGTAATCGAGCATGCTGATCACCCCCCTTGGGGATGATCAGCATGCTCGATTACCCCCCTGTGCCAACTCCCAGCCCCCTAGCTCAAACTTTGCAAAAAATCGATAAAATCGATAAAAGTAATCGATAATCCCGAAAACCAATATTGTATTCGGAATCCCCATGCTCGATTACCCCCCTGTGCGAACTCCCAGCCCCGTAGCTCAAACTTTGCAAAAAATCGATAAAATCAATAAAAGTAATCGATAATCCTGAAAACCAATATTGTATTCGAAATCCCCATGCTCGATTACCCCCCTGTGCCAACTCCCAGCCCCGTAGCTCAAACTTTGCAAAAAAATCGATAAAATCAATAAAAGTAATCGATAATCCTGAAAACCAATATTGTATTCGGAATCCCCATGTTCGATTACCCCCCTGTGCCAACTCCCAGCCCCGTAGGTGAACTCAGCAAAAAAATCGATAAAAATCGATAAAATCGATATCGATCGATGACGAAAAGTAGCCTATGACACCCGCCGGGGCCCGTAGTGTATGTGTGCCAAGTTTGGTCCGGATCGGTTCAGAAATGGAATTTTCTATTCGGAACATACGTACACACATACATACAGACAGACATACATACATACATACAAACAGACATTCAGCTTTATATATAAGATTTGTCCGACTGGGTAGAGTTATCTGGACCGCTTTTTCTTTTTCTAGGTTTTGAGCTGCACGCTTGCAGTTGCTAGACATATTAGCTTTTCTTTTATGAACGTGAAGTATCCTCTAATGTTAGCGTGCCATGGTGGCTGAGAAACAACATCCGTTGCTATGACTGGTAGTCCAACACGTAATTATAGAACAATCCTTGGGCGGGAAAATTCTGAAAATATACACATTGCATCCATATATCTATAGAATTAAATGGTTATAGAAGTGTTGAATAAGTGCCACGAGGACAAGCTGGTTGCTGATAGAGACTTTGCAAAACTTTTTTGCAAGCCAGTCTTGCGCTTATGTTTTGCAAATGTCGAAAATTTCAGCTGTGCCTTTGGATCAATTCATTTTTTCACAGTTCTTCGCAGTCATTAGGGCTTCAAGAGTTCTTATCACACATCACGCTATAGTATCTGCACTTGCTACTTGAAGCAATTTTAGCCTTCATTGAAATACCGCTAATTAGAGCGCTGTGGATGCCATGTGGATCTAAAATTGAGTGCAAAGTAGGCGGCAACTCAATGCACTAAGCGGCATCTGAGGATTTCCAGTATCCTAAAGCCTCCCGCCTGCTGGACACGTAATTAGAAATAATCGTGCGAAGATAATGATTTCGTAGAGCTCTAGGACTTCATCTCAGCCCATTATCGTCCACGACAGTATTACACTCGATAACTGCTCACTGAGCGGCTTAGGCTGAGGTCCACAGGACGTGAAAAAGACTATCGGCATGAAAATCAGTGCTGGGCTTCGTCAAGGTTTATTGGCCACTTGATGCCTGTCAATCATTGATTTCTTTCTACTCTCTAAGGACCGGGTTCGGGATCTGTGAGAAAAAGATCAGGTGCCCTTTGTTTACAAACTGAAGCATGCTTAAAGACACCTTTTACCCAAAGTGAAGGTTCACGAGATTCAATGGCATACTAATGTGGGCCCTCACACTAGGCCAACCCCCAAGTTACCCCGCAAAAAATTGCTTCCGGAGCGAGAAATCCGTTCTGGAAGGTACGTGATACGTGATCCAAAGGTGGTCACCCGCCCATTTTGCAGCTTTGGGGGCTGTGGCGCTGATATACGCCGGGCGATAACCGCGCCGCAGCCCTGCAGACTGCACTTCCAGCCGTCCGCTTTCTCCAAAAAGGGCTTTTTGGAATTCACGACTTCATATTCGAAATCAGGGCCTTCAGAAGGCCCGGAAGCGACAAAAACATGGAAGTCGAGAATTTGGGTGGACGGCGCCTTTAACACACCTTGTGAATTTTTTGTGGCACAAACAATCCTCGTAGCCTAGTCCATTAGCTGGCATCGACATGGCCAAGTTAATATGTACTCCGCTTTCTCAAAAACACATTTGCGTGGAGAACACATTTTTATAAGCAATGTACTCTTTTTGATGGGTTAGGAACCTGCTTTGCAATAAAATATGCGAGGAAAGTGCGGAAAATCGAAAGGTCGTGAGATGAAAGCGGTTTTCGGAAGATCTTGGGTTTAGCGTAGTGCAAAGTGCACCTTTGTCAAATAATGATTTTGATGTTAATCTGGTAAACCAACAAAAATTTAGTTTTGTTACTCACAAAGAAGGTCGGATTTTTTCCTTCTGTTTGATTTCTAAGAAGCAAACTGCTATATTGAGTAATTTAGGAGCATGGAATTACCCGATCCAGACTTGCACCTGGAAGGTGGCTCCAGCGCTAGCCTGTGGAAATACCGTAGTCTACAAGCCAAGTCCTCTCGCTCCAGTTTCTGCAACCTTGCTCGGTCAAATACTTCACATGGCTGGACTACCAGCTGGAGCTTATAACGTTGTACAGGTGGGGACTGTATGGGTCTACTTATCCACTTCGTCCACTTTGCTATTGGTCAAATCAGTAAATTGACCATTAGCGAAGCTGATGTCCTCTTGAGCCACTCATCATTGGATGAAGTGGATAATTGATGGACCTCAACCTTGTCAGTTCGCTAACTTGACCAATCGCGAAGTGGATGAAGTAGAGTGAAATAAGTTACCATTAATGATGAAACACTAAACTTGTCGCTTGCAGGGTGATGTGGATACCGGAACGGCACTTATACGAAATCCCTTGGTAAAGAAGGTTTCTTTCACGGGAAGTGTTGCCACAGGAAAGAAGATCATGCAAGTAATGAGAGTTACCAAATTTCCATAAAGTTGGAGTGCAGAAGATTTGGTTAAAAGCTCATAAGAGTCTTTCGTCAGCATAATAAAATTTTGGTGCTATTCCATTTTGGTCAAATTTGAAACTCAAAAATAGTTTCTACAAAATGACTGAAGGGTTAATTGGCATGTTGTTTACAAATAAGATTTTGAATACGAAAAGTCGCCATGGGGTCATGGTCGTTGCACGGGACAGGTCAACTTATCGTATTTGCAAGCTTCGATGGGCGGAATGGGGGGAGGGGGGGGGGGAATACGCTGGTTACAGTCGTGATTAATAGCCACGAAAAAGAAGTTTTTTGTCTGGTATCTCAATTTTTCCCGGAGAGTTTTAAACGAACGAAATTTTTGTCTTGCACCGTACACCTACCGTAATCCGAGACTTGGCGCTCTGAATTATCATGATATGCCTGATCAGCGTGTCAAATAAGTCTCTTAGTGAAGTTCACCATTTTGGATTTCTGGTCAACAAAGATGGATTATTATTACGAAATTCTTTATTCTTTTAGAATTGTGCAGCTCGGAATGTGAAACCGGTGACATTGGAATTGGGAGGAAAAGCGTCGTTGATCATTTTTGAGGATGCAGATGTTGATTCAGCTGTTTCCGGTGCAATGATGGCCAATTTCTTCAGTCAAGGGCAAGTGTGCAGCAATGCTAGCAAGGTATGTTCTAGATTCCGGTGCTCTTGCACCATAACATGTAGGCTAGTAGAACTGACGGTTGATATGGTGTCTATGCGGCACCGACTTTTGCCAGCAACATTTGCGCGTGAACTAATCACCGCCGCTGCATTGTCGGCAATTTGCGCGCGCAGAATGGCCGCAGAGCGCAGATTTTCAAATCTTGCGTCCCCGGCCAACCTTTTCGCGCGCAGTTTGTCGGCAAGTGTCGGCACCGCAGTGACATTGTATTAACCGTCAGATCTACAATAAAACATGTGCGTATCATAAGTGGATGTGAACTCAGCTTGTTGTGTCAGTGTCCGTAGTAAATAACTGATGTCTGGATTGGTGGTAGTCATCCTAATTGACCAATTCTGATGCATCCGTTGCATCCATAGGTGCTGGTACAACGAAAGTTAGTCGATGAATTCGTCTCGAAGCTACGTGAGAAGACAACTGCTATGCGCGTTGGCGATCCACTTGACGAAAGTACCAAGGTTGGCGCGAGTATCTCAAGACAACATCTGGAAAAAGTGAAAAATTATATACAGGGTTAGTTTCTGAATACGTTAGTAAAAGATCGGGGGTACGTCAATTCCCGACACAGTTCGTGCAAATGCATCACAGTCTCGATTCTCAGGTACTTACTCACTCAAATCTTACAAAAACGCTATTTGGCATACGTCTGGTTGATAATTCCCTCAATATAGAGTGCTTGTGGTGCCGAGAATTTCCGACACAATGTGCGCGTTAACAAACGTCCACGCCAGCTGCCGGCATCCTGCGCGCGCAAGTGGCCGGCACTACTGTCGTGGCTATCTGTTTATGCGCAGGTTTTACCGCAAAATCCGGGCGCCGCAAGCACACTATATGTATTGCGGAAAATCTACTAGACTTAAAGTTTGTATAACGCTATCGTCCTACGCGTTATTTACACCATCATCTGTGTACAATGGTTCTGGATCGTTTTCAGCTTTACTATCATAGTTTATAGGTGTACGCTAAAAAGTGCAATCGTGTATGAGATTCACTGCTCATCCCATCCCATATTTCGAGGATTGTTTTGCGATGATTGAAGAAATTCTAACTTTTCGATGTACAGACGAAAGCTTGGAAAAACTGAAAAAAACACCTACCATGAAAAATGCTCCCGTGTTTATAAAGCTTAGGACGGGCCTCGCGTGTATAGGCTAGTAGATGACGGTGAATGCATAGGGGTGCCGACAACTGCCGACAACGTTTACGCGTGAACAGATTGCTTGGCCTGTAATGCAGAGAATTTGCACGTGCATGTGGGCAGTTGACTGCACATTTATCGTCCACTTCACGATTACTGCTATCCCTGCTCTGCGTCTCTGACAGAGCACATGGCTTTATGTGGCAGTTGGCAACATGCAGCAACATGTTGGCTCAGGCTAACAGCTAAGTGTTGCTCAGCATAATGTTGCCTATTGCCGTTAATCATACGCTCCGCATGTCAGAGATGCATAAATCATAAGATGAACATAATAACTACAATCGTGGCCACGGAAAAGCTCCAGAATAAAAAATGTGGGAGGCGAAATTTGGATGACGCTGCCTTTGAGCTAAATTGGTTGAAGTGAACATGTTGCATGTTGTTGCATGTTGCCGCAGGTAGCAGCAATCGTGGAATGTACGGTACTACGCGGTAACTGCATTAGCACGTATTAGGATAGATATACTGAATCATCTGCTAAAAGCAAAGCGCGAAGGCAGCTTTCGATCCGTCGTATCAACTTCCATGAATTTTTGTTGGGGTTTTTTGTTTTTTTTCTCTCTTTTCGTTCAATCTTTCTTCTGCTCATTCGTTTGTGTCATGAGTTCTTGCAGTCTTACATCTGAGTGTGATGCATTGCAGTACGTTACTTCATAGAATATGCGGTGAAGTCTTGAAAAATTGGGCGTTTCATCGTCGTACGGCTGCTGGAACTGATCAAAGTATGCTGCGCATATGTCCTGCGAGAACAAAATCGCGTAGTAAAAGCAAAAAAGGGTGTATGTCGTAATCCATTTTCCTGGGCATTTCGGCTGTAGATTGGCTAGCTGCAATGCGCCTACAGCACACATACACCTGCAAGAGCTCATGAAACGAGAAGAGAAGGGAATGAGAGCGAATGCAAAAAAAAGCAAACGAATGTCGGTGGTAAAAGGACACCAATATTGCGGATCAAGGGATTTCATGTGCTGTGCATAATGTAAAATTGTAAACGGTGGATGCTTCATGAAATGGTCGCCGTTCAGCTTTTATCACATTCGTGTACAACTTAAGATTTCCGCATTGAACCCTTCATACGACCAGAACTCGGACTGTGGTACATTTGCATCAGTTCTTTGGGGAATTGACGTTGCCTGAATTGAACTTAAAGTCATGTACAGGGTAAAGCGGGGGGTGCGGCACGCCGCAGAGGGGGGGTCGTATTGAGGAGTCAAAAGGGGAGGGGGTCGTAGTTAGGTGATCTGATTATAGCGATAACATGATATTCGTATCATATCCATAATTAGCACGTCAATTAACCCCTGTAGACAAAGTGTGAGCGAATTCTGAAGATTCAAGATACTAGGCTACCTAAGTGAAATGGTCAAATTCCAACATGGTTAACTTTGTTTCAAAGGTGAATTAGCTACCCGTTTTTGCACTCAAGACAAAGCACTACTCCTTCTTTGTCCACCTCAGGAATCCCGCTTCAGAAGACCTCCAAACTGTGGAATTAGAAGCCAACCAAAATCTCATTTTTCCCATTTTTCGCTTTTGATGGCTGTGCTTTCACCAAATATTACTCAGAGCTAAGAAGACGAATCAGGCTCAAAACATCCCTATGGAATCTACGAGGTTTAGGCTATCGATTCATATAATCAAAAAAACATTTTTAGCGGACAATATTTATATGAATCGATAGCCTAAACCTCGTAGATTCCATAGGGATGTTTTGAGCCTGATTCGTCTTCTTAGCTCTGAGTAATATTTGGTGAAAGCACAGCCATCAAAAGCGAAAAATGGGAAAAATGAGATTTTGGTTGGCTTCTAATTCCACAGTTTGGAGGTCTTCTGAAGCGGGATTCCTGAGGTGGACAAAGAAGGAGTAGTGCTTTGTCTTGAGTGCAAAAACGGGTAGCTAATTCACCTTTAAAACAAAGTTAACCATGTTGGAATTTGACCATTTCACTTAGGTAGCCTAGTATCTTGAATCTTCAGAATTCGCTCACACTTTGTCTACAGGGGGTATTTGACATGCTAATTATGGATATGTTGTCCATTATGTTTGACAGAGCCTTCAGGTAATACTATCTTAAGTGTATAGTTTAGGAGGGGGGTCTTATTAAGACAGCAATCAGGGGGGGGGGTCGTATCCGACGGTCGAGTGCCGCACCCCCCGCTTTACCCTGGTCATGCATATCTATGAACTAGCTGGCTTACCCGGCTCCGCCGTATGTTCCGAATAGAAAATTCCATTTCTTGACCGATCCGGACCAAACTTGGCACACATACACTTCGGGCCCCGGCGGGTGTCACAGTCCACTTTTCGCTATCGATCGATGTCGATTTTATCGATTTTTTGCAGAATTTGAGCTAGGGGGCTGGAATTTGGCAGGGGGGTGTAATCGAGCATGCTGATCACCCCCACGGGGGTGATCAGCATGCTCAATTACCCCCCTGTGCCAACTCCCAGCCCTGTAGCTCAAATTTTGCAAAAAATCGATAAAATCGATATCGATCGATGAAAAAGTAGCCTATGACACCCGCCGGGGCCCGTGGTGTATGTGTGCCAAGTTTGGTCTGGATCGGTTCAGAAATGGAATTTTCTATTCGAAACATACGTACAGACATACAGACAGACAGACATACAGACAGACAGACAGACAAACAGACATTCAGCTTTATATATAAGATTTGTTGGCTAGTTAATAGTGCTTTTGTTGCTCTTTGCACTTACAAGGGAAGGATACCTGATGACCGCGGTCATCCATAATGATTTGTACATCAAAAAATGCGCATTCGAATGTAGGCTCGAAAACTATCTTCTATACCTGCGAAGCATAACCTATATGGAGTCTATTATTTTTTCCAAGAATAAGTTGCGCTACCGCGGAGGGTCAAGAGCATCAATATATTTTCTTTTAAATCTTCTTTGCTTTTTAACTGCTGAGTTTGATCTATACTAAACTACTCCCGTCTAAGATGCTGTTTTTTATCAGACGATGACTAGACCAAATCTGGTGATTTCAACCATCCAAAATACGAGTATCCTTTCCAACGCATTTCAAATGGCCACGGTCACCAAGTGTCCTTCCCTTTTCAAAGTTTTGCTAATTATTCAGTTGTTACACATTTTTTTCTGCGAATTCTTTTCATAGGACGATTTCTAGAAAACCGCCATGTAATTTCTTAGTTATCATCTATGAAAGCAACGCATTTGTTTCCGTAGAACATAACTTCGTTCTTCCATACACATCCATTTATTTTATGAGCTGGCAGGTAAGTTTTGGTGAAATGTAATGCTGGCAGATTTTCTCTCTACAAAAATGGGTGCAAATTTTGGAAAGATAGCAATAATGATTCTAAAAAACGCAAGAACACTCCGGTTCCAGACATGCTCAAATCGCCTTCAACCAAGTCTGCTAATAATTCCCAAAATCGTTCCGTCTTGACGCAAAAAAAAAGGATTGCGACTGGAAAAGTACATTCATTGCCAAGCTAAACGTAGCAGAGATTGCATGAATTGCCCCTCAGTTTAAGCTTGCAAATAAAGTGCAGTTAGTCACATATGCACTAGGCTTGAACTTGTTTTTATCTCATATTATAGTATCAGATTTAATTCTAATTCGAAAAAATGAAAATGTTTAAGTTGCAGATCATGAATAAGTATTAGGTTGTCCCATAAGCCTTTTCATACCTGACTTTTCAACGACATACATCAGTTCTTCTTGAACTCCTGATAAACTGCAGGGTACCATTGGACAGATCACAGTAAGCTCTACAAGATGGCGTTCAAAAGTTCGCACCAAGTCCAACCCGCAACATGCTCCAAACCAAAATGAAAAATTTTCCCGATTTTCCGAAAAAAACGAAAATCATCATATCTCAGTTCAAAACAGCTCTGCAAATTTCCTATTTTTTCATGCATATACTTTCCTCATCGGATATTTATAAATGCACTTGCTGCATTTTTCTGATGGCTAGAAACCAAGAAAAAAATAATGCGCTCAATTTTCAAACTTTGCCTGTATCACTTCTGTATTCTCCGCAAGTAGGTGATTATATAGCTTATTCGCTCAGAATTACTGCCAAGAATTTGCAGCTTACTAGGTGCTGTAGTTCCTGAGAAAAATCGAATTGAAGGTCCGAATATGAAAAAACTTATGGGACAACCTAATAGTATGTTGAAACCAAGATTTTTTCATCTCTATCTTAAAGGTGCGATCGCAGCCGGCGCGAAATTGGTTTGTGGGGGCAGCGAAGTCCCAGTCCGCGGCCTTGAGGATGGCTTCTATCTATCCCCATGCATTCTCACGGACATCCGCAAGGACATGGTTGTCTACAAGTAAGTCATTTCGTCTGCTAATCACCTACACTCAAATGTCTCTCCTTTCAGTGAGGAGATTTTCGGCGCTGTGCTTCTTGTAATCCCCTTCGATACGGAAGATGAGGCTGTAGATATTGCTAATGATACGACGATGGGTCTTGCTGGAGGCGTATTTACCAAGTGAGTAAACATCCAATACATTTTGGTGTCCCAAAACTAGGAGCTTTTCAGAGACTTGGCTCGTGCCTATCGTGTGATTGATCGACTACACGCTGGAGCGTGTTTTGTAAACACTTTCAACGACGTTTGTAAGTTCTACATTCTTCGTTGTTTACAATTTGTCCATTAGTAGGAGGCTTTCGTCTTAATTCTTCAAATTTTTTTTGTCTATCTTCATTATGAACGTAAAGTCAAGACGAGTGAAGCCATCGTCCCCGAATTGGGGGTGATAGTGAGATTTGATGTTATACAATAGCGGAGCCACTACCTAGTAGGTAATCGCTCAAATCTCGCCGCAAAATATGAAATCCGAAGCGAGAAAATATCTCGAGACAAGCGACCGAGGTAGCCCCGCCCATTAGCGTGGGTTTTTTGAAGCTGACAAATCCATACCGGGCTTCAATGTGTTTAGATGGTCATGAATCCGCCCTTCATCATGGTATCAGATTCCTGACGACATTTCCTTCTACCTTGAGGCCCATTGTAAACCCATTTTAAGAAGACCCACACTGATGGACGGAGCCACCTTGGCAGCTTCTACCTTCTGGAGCGATATTCTAGCTTCGGAATCCATCTTTTGCAGCGGGACTAAAGCGATTACTTAGGGACTAAGCTACTCCATGGGTGGACGATGACGTTCGGATACGAGATCTTGTGTCATAAACGCTGCGCATTCAAAAATAATGTCAAGAATAAAACCTTTGTATATATCAACTTGCGATGAAATTTCACTTACACGACTATTCCAGCTCCGTTCGTTCCCTTCGGCGGTTACGGCGACTCTGGTTTCGGACGGGAAAACGGTACAGCTGTCCTCGATCACTACACTCAGATCAAGTCTGTCATCGTCTCAACAGCTACAACATTGCCGAATCCATTCTAATTTCATGGAACGCGGGTTTATTAGTCATATATATTCTCCAGCTTTTATCAGTCATATATATATTTCAAGCTAAGCGGCATGCTATATAGATGCTGAGAGGCCCCAAGCATACTTCACGCGATTTCAGTCCCCCTGCCTCTGGCAGTTTGCCAGATGTCTTTGAATCCAATCGCAGACTACAAATGCATAGTGTACAGTCTTTTTCAACCCGGAGTAGGCGAAGCATTCCAAGAGTGGAGTAGCGCGTCCGCACCGCCACTGGCTCAGAAGGACAGAATGAAGAGACGCAGACTGCAAAGCGGTGCGATTCTTTGCGAAGCGGACCCGCCAGTCCAATTTACGCCTAAACTATTTTGAAACTTACTATATATGCATCTTGCGCTCAGAATGCGCTTATGACTTACCAACAGTTAATTTTGCCAAACTGCATCGCGCTGAATTCGCTTGAAGTATGCGCGGACTGTGGATGGGAACTAAAGTGCGGTTCATAATTATACGAACACCCTAAGTTTTGAAAGTTTTTGGACTTTCTGGAAGAAACTCAAAAAGCCATTGGTACCACGCGATAGAGCACAGCCGAAAACGGTATACAGTCCACAAGAATGGAAATCGATGTCAATCTTAGGAGTGTTTTTGCGCCTAATGCGAATTTTTAGCGGTTCATAATTATACGAACACCTCAAACAAAGGTCCATTTTTCATTCAAGATTGCCATCTTTCGAATCCAAATTTTTTGTAGAGTTACAGTAACAGAGTCTGACATATCTGCTACACACTGAACCCAGTGCAGCTCAAAAAGAGGATCGTTACTTTTTTCAGATGCTCTAGATGCTTTTGGAGTGATTGCGCTCCAAAAACATACGTTTTTTCTGTGGTTTACGCGCTCTAATTAGCTTCTACCAAAGCTATGAGATAAAATAAGCTCTTTCGATAGATATTTTGTTTGACGCTTGGAAAATCTATGCGTTTTCGTGCCGTTTTTCAACCAAGTTGCAACCTTACCCTAGAGTTAGCACGATTTTGAGCCTCAAAACTCAGCTTCTCTCTCGCGCAAACATTTGATATGAAGCATCAGCATTCCTTGCATGATGATGTATCCGTGCCAACGTTTTTGCGTTTTTTGTAAAACTGATCTTGAAGCTATGGAGCAAAAAACCAAATAAAGTTGTGATTGCAATAGTAAAAACAGTGATTTTGGTGAAATGACGTCTGCGTGGCCAAAACAAGCCCTCAACGCTCCGGTTTTTCTTCTAGTCAAATATATAGTTTTGTGAACTTCTACATACCATCTGCTTACTCCATTGTAGGGCTTCCGAAGCTGAGTTTTGAGGCTCGAAATCGTGCTGACCCCAGAATAAGGTTGGAACTTGGTTGAAAAACGGGACGAAAACGCATAGATCTTCCAAGCGTCAAACAAATTATCTATCAAAAGAGCTTATTTTATCTCATAGCCTTGGTGCAAGCTAATTAGAGTGCGTAAACCACATAAAAACGTATGTTTTTGGAGCGCAATCACTCCAAAAACATTTAGAGCCATCTGAAAAAAGTAACGATCCTCTTTTTGAGCTGCACTGGGTTCAGTGTGTAGCAGATATGTCAGACTCTGTTACTGTAACTCTACAAAAATTTTGGACTCGAAAGATTGCAATTTTGAATAAAAAAAAGATCTTTGTTCAAGGTGTTCGTATAATTATGAACCGCTAAAAATTCGCATTAGGCGCAAAAACACTCCTCAGATTGACATCGATTTCCATTCTTATGGATCATATACCGTTTTCGGCTGTGCTCTATCGCGTGGTACCAACGGCTTTTTGAGTTTCTTCCAAAAAGTCCAAAAACTTTCAAAATTTGGAGTGTTCGTATAATTATGAACCGCACTTTATGATACCACTCTCAGCTTCTCTTATCTGACTGTTGCCAAGTGATTAACACATACATTGCATAAGAGTAACATATCCACCTTGAGAGTAGATCCCGGTAATTAACACAGTTAACGTGTTTACGAGCTTCCATGCGTGATTTTCATGGGTATTATGTGTTGTTGTTCTCATTGTTGTAACATGTATAATCTAAAAAGATTTATTCGTGAAGGCGGATCTGCAGTGGTCAATATTCCAATATTTTTTGCGTAAAGGCAGATCTACAATCGAGCAAGATTTCGACAAGATTAGTTTTATAGCTAGAGAAATATGGCGAAGAGATCAATAAAGTTGCTGACATGAAGCTGATCTCGAGCAAGGTTTTCAATGGTCCCGATATCAGAAGCAGTGGCAAAGAGGTGGAGTTGTCAGTCGCGAAATAAGATTCAGAAAAAGAAGGCAATTAGAAGAGGTAAAGGTTGTGGAAAGTTATACAATGTCAGCGATTTGTGGTCACCAAGAAAATTCAGCTTGTTTGCCTGGAAAATCTCACTTTTATCTCTTTTTCTTTGAAACTATTATCTCTTTTTCTCTTTTCTGACTTAGCTTCTACTTTCTGGTTAAAAATCATTTAACTCGGCCGGGGATGCGATATTCGCCAAAATTCGACCCATTAAACTTCCAAAATGAAACTTTCTACTGTGTCGCTCTAGTCAAGTTCATAGATGAACAAACAATATCGCTGATGTTGCAGACTTCCTCAAAAATAAAAATATGCATGCCCATTAAAATTCACTTACTACGAGTCAATTACAACGTGCACCTGGGATCAAATAAATACAGAGTCATCAGGACTTCAATACAAGTGAAATTGCCAAACAATGCATAGAAATGCGCAGTTATCAAAGAAAAATCTGAAAGGGAAATGATGAGCTGCAAAACCCAATAAGTGTTTCTTTCATGAGCAGGGAATATTCGAGTGCACAAGCAGAAATTTTGCTCACAGCTCTCTAAGAAAAAAAAACGAGTTGCACCGTGATTTAAAGCGTTTTGGTTAGTATAATGCTAAGAAATGACCATACAAATAAATAACAACTATCAAAAATCGAATAATATCATGAACCAGTAAGAGACTTTACACATATGGGACTATCCGTGGTGTTCGGATCATGAAATGGAGCAGCATATGTTGTTGCTGGGGCAATGACGGTATAGCACCAGTGCAGAATAGCGTGGGCGAAAAAATTGTGGAGATATTTTCGACGCTCATTTTATTCTGAGCACTATGATCGGCAACCTGCGATTTGTTATTTTCTTTGCATTCAAAAAATTGCAAGAGCAAAATAGTACCTTTCGCAAATGTATCAGCAAAGCGTTCAATGTAACGGCATTGGCCTCTGAAAGCTCTTCCAGCGCTTTCCTATGCAACAAAAGCCATTTTTCCACAAAATCAAAGTGAACATTGTGTGACTATTACCTGCATGCTCTCGTTTTTTCATGCACACTTCGTGCATTCGCGAAAGCTGATAGAAGAGCTTTGTAAACGCTAAACGGAACGAGTTGTTGAGGTAGCAACCTCAGGTAGAGTTTCAGCAAGCCGCAGACGGTGTGAATATCGTCTACCTGAAACTGTTTAATGAAATCAAGTATGCGCAACGATAGACGAAAGCCTCTCGTAAAAGTCGAATCTCTGAGCAACTCCCCTACTCTCCCAGAACGTATGTAGAAAATCGTGTAATTTGTGTAATCAATTTTTTTGCATCAATTTTTCAAACAGCCAAAACAGTTCCTTCTTTAGCTGTTCTTAACCAAGAACTATGGGAGTGGCATAGCTCACAGGCGGGCGCTTGATAGCCCTGTGCCCAAAATATGTCTCAGCGGTTTTTGCATATGTTTCATGTCTTCAACAGTTTGAAATATTTGAAGGCCAATAGGCAAAATACTGAATATACACTTTGATTCAACGGGATTGGCGGCTGGAAGATAACCGCACGCATCCTCCGTCTCACACGCGAGCGTGCTCTCTGACCATTCCCTAGTCTGATTAGGCCTCGAAGTCCTGCCTCCCAGCTGCCAACCCTTCAAATCAAATGTATCAATGTCGCAAAAAGTTAACTTAATCCATTCGAACAGGAATTTTTCCAGATTGAGTGTGACATCCGTTTGTGCGCAGTTGATTAAAAACATGCCTAACTGCTGCTCAATAAAACTCGTGGCCTCGCAGGTTTTTTTTAAGCGTTGAAACATTTACAATCTGCGTTCCATGGATATGGATGTCACGTACAGATTAGCATTCCTTACAGCGCTCGGCGATATGCATCTCATTTCAATCACCCTCAAAGTGACAGCGTTCTCTCAATCAATTATGAATCCCGGACAAAAGTGAAAGAAAATAAGACAAGGGTCATCATAAGTTGTACATTTTACCAGCCAAAAAACGCCTAATGACGACTTAAGGGGTATACCTATTACAAGCATGAGATACCCAAAAGAAAATGGAATCAAGTTTCAGCGACAAAGTAGCCACTGAAAAAAATGACGTTTGACTGACTTGATTCAAATCCACTGCTTGTTGCGAATCAAATTGCCTTTTTAGCTTTTCCATGTGGTCGTGCGATCCAGAAACTCGATAGATACCTTCTACGTTGAGTCCGCGAGCTTCTACCTCAAAAGAAAGTGAAATATGAAATAAGAATGATGCACAAAAAGCAGAACAAGCTCAGCTTGCTTCTTGACTTATGTACAAAACACTGATTCTTACTTCTTGAATGCATTTAGTGACCACTGGTGGAATCGGCGTTTGATGAGCCAGGCATAATGTAGTGAGATCCACTGCAAACATTCTCTTCACATACCGGGCCTCGGGTCGGCAATCAGGCAACGTATGCTCCGAGCATCGTTTGTGAGCGGCAAAGCCACAATCCTCGCATCGTACACCCTTCAAACGCAATATCATTACAATGTAAGTCAAGGCAAAGGAAATAGGTGTGCTTACCTGCTGCACTAAGCCCCACATAAAATTCCTACAGTAATCGCAATAATGAGGCATTTTGAATGTATGTTGGGTAAAACTATGCGATCTTGCTGCAGGTGTTTTTCGTTCCGTGCTCTTCGTATACTGCATGTAAGGACTGAATTAAATAGAATAGTGTGTAATAAACGGTTGAAAATTAGAGATTGCACCTTTGCTCATAAATGGCCTCATCAGCCATTCGCTTTATGTAATCTGAAGCGTGTTTATCCATAAACATTGAGATCAAACCGTCTGCAACGAGCAACTCCATGGTTTCGAAACGTTTCTCTCCCACATAGTGAGTACCGTCATAGTACAGCTGAAGTAAAGTATATGATATTATCTGGCAGTAATTTCAATATTGATACGCTCCCAGATTCGGGTGTGGGCGGAGACTGGAGCTTATACGCGTGGTTGCAACAAAAGACTTCAAAAGTAATGTTATAACATGGAAATACAGGTTTATTCACGTTAATAAAGTCTGCAATGTTCCGCCCCCGTTGCAATTACAGGTCGCCAATAGATAATCAGACTTCAACTCTTAAAAATGAGAAGTGGATTCAAAACTATTCCACAAAACAGCGAAGGCGCAGTTACTAAAGAGGCCAAGAAAGGGCAGTACAGTAATTACCTTGTAATTTAGCACACGACCATCGAACATCATACATAACGTAAAGGCATCTTGAGATCGACGAGATTCTCGTACCAAAAAGGCACCTTCACCGACTTCCATCAACATGCGCTCGGCCTAAATGTAGCCGTATCAGTAAAAAGACTGATACTGAAGAATTCCATTACTTCCAAAACAAAAAGCTACTGAATAAAGTTCTCAAGCTCGAGCCAGAAAATAGTTTCAAACATATCTACAAAACAGTCCCTTTTGAAGAGGAGACCTGAGCTAGGAAATCATTGAACTGAACTGCTTACAATTCCATTGTCACTAGGCACAAATTCTCCATGTTAGGGAGAGAAGGGAAGCGTGGAAAAACATACCTCAACTCTATCAATCAAACCATGGAATTCGTTGCCATATTGTGGAGGACGATTGTCGATTTTGCGAGTACAAAGTACTGGAATTGGTTTGGGAGCTCGCTCTTGTAGAAGATAGAGGTTCTGCTTCCAGTAGCCCAGACCTCCTGAAAGTCAGCAGAGATGCGACATATGATACGATAAGGAGAACTGTACAAACACAGAGGATATGTCAATAAAATCAATGAATTCAAGCTCAAAAGCTTGAAATAACCCGAGAAAAATTGCCAAACTCACCGATGGATCCCGTGGTTCCGTTAGCGTCCTCCTCCATGACGTGGCTCTAGTCGATAAAGCTACTAATCAGTGTAGTAGCCGCAGCATCCGTCTAAATTCTCGGTAAAGCATTGATGGTAAAAGATCTACTAGAGAGAAACTAATTACAAGTATACTTATAGGAAATCTCGTGGAAATCAGAAGTAATCAAATCTTTCAAAGTGAACTTTTGGCCATTTGGAAAATTTAAAAGAGAAAGACTGCAGCCTTATGAACCAATTGAAAGACAGAAGAAACAAAAAATCGAGACGGCCACCCACCACTTGGGCGTGAGGAAATTCAATTACGGTCGCTGTCACCTAACACACGACCAACTTGAGGTCAACGTTGAGTACTTTTGCGCTATACCAGTTTGAGATTCTCTGTTAGGAGTGATAGTATCGTGCAAACTTTGTGTTGTGCTAATATGTCTATCTCTGTTGGAGCGTTGTGCTCTTTCTTCTACAATTTCATGTCTTTTGGACCGCTATGTAGCGTACATCATAAACATTTTCACGCTTTTACAGATACTCCATGCAAGTTCCAAGTTAATTCGGTAATTTTTGGCAAAACAGAAATCGTAGAATTTTGACTGTGACTGCCGCGCTCATGCGCTATGTTTCAATCATTTTTAACTCTGTTCTCCGTAAACTCAATATGTATCTATTTTTAGATTTTTCTGGACATGCTTTTGTTTTGGCTTTGGCAGCTGTCATGTACAAATCCATTTTCTTCTACCTGTCGCTAGTCCCTGGTCTCGGCTCTTTGCTTTAGTGATTTAATCATAAACTAACCAAGTTTGCGAAAACTTCTCAGGAAGATCAAATCCTTGGTTTTGCCTGCTGACATTTCCTGTTGGTGGCTACAGTATGGCATATTTGGTAACTACGCTTTCAGCGTTTCACAGGAACTATGATGGCAGTTTGGGAATTATGAACCAAAACGTTCGCAGCAGTTTCGGTTGATTATTCTCCCTTGACAGTCACTTAATTTTCAAACAAGAAATTACATCGAGCGGGGCACCCTTTTTGTTTTGCATTTTTAAATGCGGTAACTATAACAACAAATAATGATAGAAAATCTCTTCTTGTGGGAACCTCATCTGAAATCATCTATTTCGACTGTTTCGGCAAACAAATTTTCAAAAGCTGAGCAACATTTTTAGCCAGGCAGTTTTGGTAGTGACTTTCAGATACACGAGAGGTGTATTTTTGAGATGTAGTGGTTCCGCTTCATTCTTTCTGATAGACATAAATCAGTGGCGGTCGAAAAAATTTATACAATTTTTCGCGCGGGGTGTAAGAATTTTTTTTTCGTTTGGAGGGCGTCGCCAATTTGGGTTGCTTTCTAAAGTTTCTACATCTCGGATTTCAAAATGGGCGTAGCCGTAAAAATTCCCGGAAATTTTCCTGCAAAGGCTTACTTTTTCAAGAAGTTTTCGGAAGTATCTTAGTTCCCTGATGAGAACAAGTCAATTTTATAACTCGTGGGCTACCTTCACAAATTTTGCGACCCATTCTTGGACCTTTCAGGCTCCGGCCAGACTTTGCTCAAAGCGCCCAAATTTCTATAATCTCTCTCATCTCTCTACCACGAGAAATTGAAGAGATTGGAGAAATCTGGACGCTTTTGGGCGCTTTTGAGCGAAGTCTGGCCAGGGCCTATGACTTTGGTCTTCTTTTATTACTTGTAAGATTGTAACTTTGCTGGAAATTCCTACATTTGGTCTGGTTTCAATAAAATCAACCAATAGAACCATCTCAGAAGGAAGACACTAACACGAGCAATAGCAATAGCATTCAGCATAACCGAACCTGAATGCTTGTCTCCATACTTGGCTGCCTTACTCGGCTTTGCTCGCTCTCTTTTTACACCATGAGAGAACTCACCATTCCTTTACTCTTCTCCGCAAGGCTTCCTGTCATTTTCCATTTAGGTGCCATTTCACTTCTTCTAATGTATCTTACCAAATTTTCTTCATCTTGGAAGCTCTGATTACGGACTTTTTATGATGTCCATATCTGTACTGAACTGAGAAAGGGGGTAAAATACAAAAGGAAATTATTGATTGCGAGATGCTAGCTAAACACGCGCAAATCTCACTTTCTTACTCTTTCGATTGAAGAACCGCATTGCTCAGTGATGACTGTCATTAGGCCTTACATCGCATCACATCCTCATTTAAGTTTAGATAGTGCGAGTTATCCACGTATTCTTGTACATCACAATCACGTTTGCTTCTTTGTACGTCTCTCATCCTTTTCCACATGGCCAACTTTTCAGCTTGGGTCAATACCTGGAGCAAGTATGAGAGTAATCTTATGGCTTGCTTTTCTGGTCCAAGCTAGAGCGGACATCTACAGTTGTGGTGGTTTTGTGAAGTCTAGTGTTCCCATCGATTATTCTAAAATCCAGGTATGTCGTTTTTTCAAGTTGGATCATGCTTTGTTGAGTTTGAAGTAGCTTTTTTCGAATAGAATTATAATTTGTAAAATAGAAGAATATAGTTTCAATCATTGATCCTCGTGCATTCAGAGTGCGCCGAACACACGCGCCATACTTGATCCGCTTAATCCACTTCCGCTCGATCCGCTTCGTCGTGGTCAATTCAGTAGTGAATAGTATATTAAAGACCAGTAGTGAAGTAAATGAATGGATCAAGCGGATCAAGTGCACAACGGCTTCGCCATAGGTCAGTGCACTGAATTGACCAATGACGCAAAAAAAAAAATTCCCAAATGAAGATGGCTAACGCCACGCACTCCAAAATTTTTTGAGGTGCTTCTCAAAATGTTTGCGGGCCGATAACTCCTAAAATCTAGAAAAAGGGGGTGTGGCGACAGCCACGTTCCTGAAAAATTGTTTATTACAAGCCTAATTTGAACTTGTAAAAAATTTTCAAAACTATTTCAGTTTTTGCAAGAATAGGCAAGTCCTTCACACATTTTTATAACCCATGTAAGTGAATTTTCAAAAATTTTCGCAACCCATTCTCGAGTGGGGGAGGGGGAGGGCGCCTGCTTGGTCTGCCACTGCAAGCTGATATGTTCATTTCAAAGACCTGCTTCCAGGCTATGATGATTTTGAAGAAACAAGATTTTGGCTAAACTTGTATCATATTATCGTTTTGGAAGTTTATAAGTGGATGGCTTGCGTTTTGCCTATAAAATCTCGAATTTTTGAAGCTTTTGCTACCACTTCTCCTTGTGCTCATTATAAAAATGCATTTTGGTGAGCGAAAACGGCGGGACAATTCTTCAACTTTCCACAGAATATCTCTCAACTCGAAAGGAGCGTGATTGCCAAATGGCTGCACTCAAAAAATTCCAAGATTGAGCAGAATAACTTCTTTCTGTGCCATTTCGAAAGTCGAGCTCTCTCATCGCGACCGGGTTTTTTTTTTGCAAAAATATTTGGTTTTGAAATTCCTTTTGGGATGTCTCTCTCTCAACCGATCACCAAGTGTTTACATCCGTAATATGTATCTCTTGAGATATAGAGCACAGCAGTTGCCTAATTTCAAACCCTAATTACTTATTGTTTTTGTATGCTTTTGGGACTCTTACTCTTGATTAATCTTCTTGCTTATCTGTTTTCAAAAGAAATCTATTTTGCTGCAGGTCAAGCTTCTGACTCCAGAGGGTCATTTGAAGCACGAAGAGGAATGCAATCCACAGAACGGATACTACATGATTCCCATCTATAACAAGGGTCAATATTCCCTAAAAGTGTCTGCACCAGAGGGCTGGTACTTTGGTAGGGACTTACATATCTAGAAGGTTGTCCATTCTATAGATTGGTGTAATGATCTATTTTAGAACCAGAAACTGTTGACTTCAAGCTGGATGGTGTGAGCGACCCTTGCACTAAGAATCTAGATATAAATTTTGTTCTAACAGGTTAGTCCATTTGTTCTATCATTTTCATCCCTGAAAGCTGTGGTCATTTTTCTTCTGTCACAAAATTATAGGTTTTTCTATACATGGCGTAGTTGACGGCGGATCAGGCAGTGGTCCGGCAGGTCTTTCATTGACCCTCAAACAAGACGGAAAGGTGATTGATACTGCAACGACCACTGAAGGAGGAAAATACTCTTTCAAAGCCGTGGCAGGTATGCACATCTCGTCAGCTCATATTTTTTGTCATTCATACTGTGCTTTGACGGCCGAAAAAATAAAAAACATCAAATTGTAAATTTCAAACAGTTCTCACAGACTGGACTTTGAAAGTCAATTCCTAACATTTACTGCGACGCTTTTAGACTGAGAACAAGTTACATGTGCCATTTTACCGCACATATAGATCACTTTTCATTATTTCTCAACCCGCTGTAAAGGAAGGGGACACCCTTGACCGCACCTCTTATCGTCTTTGTGAAGTATTAGATGAATGGCAGCCATCAGAAAGCATTCCCATCAGACTTTATTTTAGGAAAGTACGAGGTTTCCACGGGTGCAGATTCATCAGTATGTATCAGTCATGGAAAGGCGACAGTTGAGGTGAAAGAAACATAATGATAAATGTTTGCTCTGCTTGTCATTCTGATGTAAATGCGCCAATGTTTGCTTTCGCAATCCGAAAATAGGCGATCTGTGCTGTATGTGGTAATGTTCTTAATCATCTCAATCACTTTAGGTCAAAAATGCACCGGTTCTTGTCAAGCCAGACCTTCGCATTGCTGGCTACCAATTTTCCGCATCTGTACTGAATGAAAATAGGCCCTTGCCTGGAGTCAAAATTAGTCTTTACTCGGAATCAAAACCTGAGGCAAGTCTCTTATAGTCTTATAGATGTGGTTGTAAAGAAATCAGTGGGTATTTCAGCAGCTTGCGAACTGTGAAGCTTTGAAGACACCCGTTGATGGCATGAAAAATGCAAAGTTTGTGTGTCTGATTGGATCCACCTCCGAGAAAGGACAAATTGTGGTTCCATGTTTGCCATCAGGTTTCTATCTTGCTAAAGCAGATTATAAGGATGGTGAGACGGAGTTTATCTTCTCGCCAGCGGTGCAGAAGGTTGAGGTGAAGGATCGTGCCACTAAGGTGAATGCTTGCTGTTCCAATTTGTTTTACAGCCGTATAATTTTAATTTGTTCAGGTCTCCTTCTCTGTTGCTGGATTCACTGCTAGAGGACGAGTTGTTGTCGGTAAGAGGGGAATTGCTGGAGCTGATGTTCTCGTAGGGGGAAAGAAAGTGGCGAAGACTGATTCTGATGGGTACTATACTCTCAGCGACCTCAAGGTATTTGATTTATACATTGAACAATTTATAACTTGATGTAAGCAAAAAAAAATCTTAGGAGGGTCCTATCGAAGTCACCGCGCAAGCACCGCATACTTCATTCAGTGTGGAGAAATGCAATCTGAAGTTGCCTCACATTAAAATTGAGGATGTCAAAGTTGAAGGGTATGTTTTTCTTACATCACAACATCACAATAGGCCCTGGACAGACTTCACGCGATTTGATCATCGCGACTGAATCGCGACGAGACAACTGTTACAACATCATTCCATGCCGAGCAACTTGCATTTCGGTTGTGTTACTTTTCCAGCCGAAATTTTCGAATGTGAAATGAAAATGAATGGAAATGTCGGCGATTGAGTCGCGACGATCAAATCGCGTGAAGTCTGTACGGGGCCATAGAGTATACACGTTAAAGTTCATGTAAAGTTTGGAGTTCACAACTTTACAAAACATTAACCTAAATTCACGGTTTTCATTTCTTTTTCAATAGCAGCTTCACGTAGACTGGCTTTGGAGAACAAAGCTTTCATATTTGTAATTTTTGTTTCAAAGAAACTATAGTATTGCCCAGAATACCATCCGCGGAAAGGTGTTATTGTATTGACTTTTCAAAAAGTTCTTACTTACCTACAATAGTGGCAAGCTCCAAGCTTACTCGTGCATAAATGTAACATTAAAACATTTTACATGAAAAAGCTCTGTGCACCCTTGCAAACATGCCTTGATTACGCCCCAATCTGACGGATCTCTCATCACAATCTTTCTGTCGTGCCGGAGGTCAAGGTTTTTTTTTCTTAGTTTCGAAGTATGTGGGAGTGTGGAGAAGTCGCCATCGGAACAAATTGCTTCATCGCTCATATTGAAACGTGTTGACAACTCTGACACTTTATCTATTCGACCAGGAGTAGATGGGAAATTTTGCAAAATGGTCGCACCAGCCAGATACACGATTTCGGTAGGTTTGATCTAGTCAGTTGTTTCCCTTCATCTAGAATCTTATGACCAATAGCCTGCGGATGCTTCGTCAACGTTAACTCCGCGATCTCTGGACATTGACACAACAGCAAAATTCGTTCATGATCTCCGCTTCACTCATTTCAAGACTGACGCCGTTGTTTTGGTTACTTGTATAGGTAGGTCTATTTATCTGGATATCATGCTTGAAAATGAATTGTGGAACTAAAAGGGCTCAAAAATATTTAGGCTCATGTGAGACCCTTTCTATCTCGTTGTTGCATGGAAATACTGTAGTGGACACAGTGCGAGGGAAAGACGAATCTGTTTTCAGGAATATCGGTCCAGGAAAGTACAGAGGTAAGTTCACACGCTTGTTTCCGTGCTTTGTTATGATGCTGCATACCCTAATGGTTAAAATCCGCAGATAATTTCTGGTAGGACTAACATTGTGCAATCGGAAGAGCAGCTGACTCACCCACGGTTGAAAAATTTAATTCAAACTTGCCCGTAAATCTCGTACACAATTTATGCGATCACCATTGCTAGTGCACTCATTTTTCAAAGAGTAGATCATCTTTTTAGTTCGCATTGACGAAGGTGACAAAGCTTGTTGGGAACAACGTGAACTTCCACTCATAATCGAGAAGGTACAACCTCAGCCAGTGCATTTCGTGCAGAGCGGCTTCGCTACTAGCATTCGATTGAGTCACCCTGCGCAGCTGGTAAGCTTCCAGCTTTTTTTTCTCACGAGTTGTTTCAATTTGTGCTTCAACCATGTTCTCCTTCCATTCCGGCTTTGCAACAGCGACATGGGATTTTATCCGTATTTTCTTGATTTTTAAGAAATGGACGCACAGTGATAAGAAACAGTTGAAAGGTGACATCAAAGCGCCCGCGGGACAATCATCTTTCTGTGTACCCGTCCAAGGACGATATCATGTGCAATTGGTCTCTTGCATGAATTTTGATCCTCAGCAGTTCGACATAAATGGTAAGCTGTTGCTCTACGTTTGATTGTCGGATAAGATTGTAGAATATAGAAGTTTAGTTGCTTCTGACCAAGTATATGAAGCTAAAGCCATGGACGCAAAAATTACTGGCACGATAAAAAGCACAGATGGCAGCGGATTCGTCGTCAAAGTCAAGTGCGAATTTTGTTTTGTTTTTCAAGTTTATCAAGCCGCGTTGAAGGCATTGTCGTCATAGTCTCCTCATCTTGTTCTTCCATGATCCCACTTTAGATCCGGCGCTGGAGAGCGTGATGTCTCTGTAAGCTCTAACGGGAAGTTCTCCTTCTATGAGCCGATCACATCTAGTGGAGACGTCATACTCACGCCTTCATCTGCCACTCATCTTTTTGATCCATCAAGTTTTTCGTTGCGATTCAGGTCAGTGCACGGTCTGATGCAAGTTATTTTTATGATAAGTCGATTAACACTTTCACAGAGGAGATTGTGTTGAAAATGTTGTGGAATTCGTTGCAACCAAGGGTATCTTCATTGACGGGTCTATAACACCACCTGTTGCTGGAGTCAAGGTATTTCCTCAATCTCACCATTGAGCTTTCGGTTGATTTTGCTTAAATTTTGCTTAATTTTTTTTTTAAATTTTTAAAATTTTTTAAAAAAATTCTTTAGATTATTGCCAAGCACAAACAGGATTCCAGTGTTTACTTCGAGACCACTTCTGACGAAAAAGGAAAGTACAGGTAGTAATTTAACTTGTTTCATTCCGATTTGGAAATGCTAATCTCCTCCTATAGGATTGGCCCTGTGCGACGGGCAGAAGACATGAAAATATCTGCAGAACTCGATGGATACACTTTCAATGAGAAGGCTGGTCTTGTAGGCCAGCTAACTAGCACCAAGTTGAGCAAGCTCACTGTCGTTGTGGTGAGTAGCTATTCACTCTTGCAATCACTATTGTACTTTATCCAATTTTCCATATTTTAGTCAGATATTGCTACATCAGAACGACTGGAAGACGTGTTGCTATCCATAGTTGGCGGAAAGGATTATCGTAGTAACAGTATGATTGACAAAACTGGAGAGATTAATTTTGTTGGTTTGGTAAGCACTTGCCTGTAGTTAAGAAACCCAATTGCCTCAACGAGAAACTCAAAGTGTATATTTTTGGAAGCTGTACAAAGGCATGTAAACTTGGTGTTTAGAGGTAATATAATTCTTTTGTTTTTTTACCATCTAGGCATTAACTTTTGCCTCCAACTAGAAAGACCGCTTTAGGAAGCTGCCACGTCTCCTTCACTTCATAGTTGAATAAAAAGATCATGGCTTTGGATGGTGCTTACGAGGGAAGGATACTTAATGACCGTGGCCTTTTGCAATGAGTTGTATACCAGTAGATGCGCCCTGAAACGCTGATTCTAAATCTATGTTCGTTATCTGCTGTGCGACTAGCTGAACAAAGTTATGGACTTTTTTCGGGATTGATTTTGCGAGATTTAGGCAGTGAAAATTGTCAGTATTTGAGTTCTTTAGACTCTGATGTATCGGTGACGGTTTTCCTGAGCTTAACGTGAAGCTTTACTTTAATTGTACGCTCTTTTATAGTGCGTAAGCGAACATTTTAACGATTTGGTGATTTTTGCATCAAAAACAGCGCAAATTTTGGTGACAAAAAATGTTCATAACTTCTTTCGGAGGAGCGCACAGCAGATAATGAAAACAGATTTGGAATCAGCGCTTCAAGACGCATTTACTGGCATACGTTTCATTTCAAAAGGCCACGGTCACCAAGTATCCTTTCCTTGTTAGTGCAGTCAGTAGACGAGCAAAAACCGCTAGGTTGGAAGGCTTAAAGAGTGTTTTTAGAGGACTTATCGAATGCTTCCGGATTGACTTGCTTGACCTCCTCTAGGCGCTAACTAAAAATGAGTGTGATTGTTGGTTTTGATCAAAAACTGCACACAGTGCGAACGATGCTGGTGCTACTTTATCTGGAACCAGCTGGCTCAGCCAGCTTCGCTCGGCTGTTGCTAGCTATTATACGGTCGTAAGCTCCATTTCCTTCCGTTGTTGGGGGAGGGGGAAGGGGGGTTCCGATCAGGTACTGCATAGCAGCAACTCACTTGATTCATCAGTGCGTATAATTTCTAGAGTTCTGTCTAGAACGCAGTAAGATTTCTCCTTGCTTCGCAGGAATGCGATATTCTTACAATTGGCTCCATTGTTATAGGCAACAGACCTTTCTTCAGTCTTCGCTGGTTCATTTTTAACCTTTCCACGCAAAATTCAAGAGTGAATCTGTTTAAAACTAAATGAAGTGATATTTCAAATTCGCGTTGTTGGGACACATTTTTAAGGAACCCTTTCCAGGCTCCGGGAGAGTACTTCTTACGCGCGATTCTGCAAGAATATAAATTCGAGCCATCAACTACGACAATCGTTGTGAAGGAAGGACAGCATGAGCATGTCGAGCTGAGAGGGAAGCGCGTGTCGTTCAGGTATACTTTTGCACGTTTTAAAAATCAAGAAAAGCTCTATAAAACTATTTCAAAAAAAACTTAACGTGTATTTTTGCAAAAAGTTGTGAAGGATTGAATATCTAGGAATTGAAAACAACCAGTAAAATACAGGTAATCCAAAATATTTGACATTTGCCAAAATTTCAGCTAAAATACAGGTGCATTTACGAAACATAGCTGTTCAAAGCTGTTTGCCGAGGTAAAAAAAAGTAAGGTTTAAAATGTTTCCATCGAAATCTGTGCGATCTCGCATTTGTTCGCGTTGTGACGATGGTGGAAACCAGCGAAAGATACGCTGCGCTACGCTCACCGTCGTGTCTCGTTACGGTGATGTCAACTTGCCGGTGAGGAGTATCAAGGATTACGGTTTCGCGACTTCAAAACTGAAGTTGTAAATGTTGAGATCCTTGGCTGTCTGAGGCAGATTGTTCATATAAAGAAATTCAGCTTTGATTGTTTTGTTTTCGGATTATAGGTGAACAAGGAGGAAAAAATTTCAAAGGCAAGAGCAAGAAAGCATTTTCCTCTTCTTTTTTTCAAGCATTTTGGAACCTGATTAATTGCTATCTGTAGTATTTGCTATCTAGCTGGCACTACGAAGGTTATCGTGTTTTTAACATTGTGGTTCTCGACTAATTGTTCGCATCCTAATATGAAGGCGGAGCTTGTCATGAAGAGTAGTCTTGAAAGAATAAGGTTTTGGTTATTTATCTTGCTACTTTCAGTGTCTTTGGTCGCATAAGAGAGATGTCTGGTTCTGCTGTTGTTGGTGTGATTGTGGAAGCTCTCTCGGAGCAATGCGATCAGCATCAGTCTGAAGCAACAACTACGCAGGACGGCTCCTATCGTATACGGGGCTTGAAACCAGACTGTCAATATAAGGTGTCAATCAAAGGTGAGCGAATAGATTGTACCTCACTGATGTCCTAATTTTGCTGATTTTTTCAAACTGCTTATATATTGATTCTTTGTGTGTTCAGCAGGAGCAGATGGCGCAGCACCTCCGCACTGCTACCCTTCTCAATTTGGAGTTCGAATGACCGCTGAAGATCTGAAAGGACTCGATATGGTTGCAGCTCCATACGATATGAGTACGGATTTGGCTGTTGAGGTAACAACATTAAAGTTGAGATTTTCCCAACAAAAATGACTTTTCTTAGATGGAGTTTGGAACAATGAGTATACCTGCATCATACCGAGTCTCCGTACAACGAGAAGGCGAGACGATCACACAGTCTGTGGTACACGCCCCGGTTACTGTGTTCTACTTGAATAACCTACCTCGCGATGGAAGAGAGTATTCTGTGAGAGTCGAACCAGATCGACAATACCAGACATTCCCAGCGAAGACAGGTACTTACCTAATCATATAGGTGGCACCTAACTCGGTTTATTGCAGTATTCTTTACCACGGATGCACCAGTACGGGTGGTTCGTATACCAATTACATCGTCCAAACGATCTGGTGAAGTGGAGATTAGCGCTGGATCGTTACTAGCCCTGCCATTCTTTGGACTTTTGGCTCTGATCTTCTTCAACCAGGTAAATAATGCACCACCACCACTATGTTCAATATTTACAATGCCGAAATTCACATATCCTTTTTCTGTATTACGCACTCTGTGTCGCATTCATCAGTCATAGCTACTGGATCTTATTTCAAGGGCAGGCGGGGGGGGGGCGCAATTTCATTTTCCGGCAAGGAAACTGTACAAGTCTATTGCATGCCGATCATCTTGCATTTCTTTGTAAGAGTTTTTCGACGCGAATAATCGCGAATAACTATCACACTGAAATGGAACATGATCAAATGCAGTGCACTTGTAACAGTTGCCTTCGACAGATCGCGAGGCCATGAAATCGCATGAGATACGTCCGGCCTTTCAAGCAGTTTTGACCTTCTTCAGCCATATTTTACAGGGCCGATCTTGGGAACTGTTTCGTTCCTTCCTCTCAATCGTCCGTCCAGCAAGTCCTTCTATGGAACGAAAAAAGAGGAAATAGAGAAGTATTCGACTCCATTCTCTCGATATGTTTGTCCTGGACCATCCATGATTTTTGACAGCCTTAACCAACACACGCACGAGTTGTCCGCTAGTTGTACGTATGTCGTTGCAAATAACTTATACTAATCACTGATTTTCTGTGATTTTATGACTAGTTTTTTCACCCTTCTAAATTATTACTTGTTGTGTTTTGTCATTTGTTGTATTGTGCTTGTTAATAAAGATTTCACTTTTAGGTCAGAGTATCTAGAAAGGTGTTGAGAAAGCACTACATACATGAACTCAGGTATACTGTTATAACAGCAAAATAGACTGCGATCCATAAATAAGTCCCGAGAAATGGTAACCAGGGAAAGAGTATGTGTTTATAGTTACTGGCTTGGAAAGGCAACCAAGTTCACCCTTGAATCTGGCATAAAATCTTGCATGATTTTTTGGTAAAAGCTTCTCGAAACAAATCCACCTTCGAATACTGACTTGCAGGAATGTTGCATGCGCCGCAATTTGTATTCGTCAGCGCTGAGTTCTGGAAATGCCGAGATGAGGCGGCGACTGGCGCAAGGCCATCGGCAGGTTCACGTGCGACTAGCGAGCAAACAGCGCCGTCATGAGATCGATGTGTTCCCATGGCGCGGTCCCCCGCAGTCGCTGCAACTTGCGCTTATCGATCCGTGCGCGGGTCGCGCGTTGTATTGGACTAGTCGTTGTAGGTGCGGGTGACATCGCGCTCGTCTATTTGCTCCAATACCGGTAAGTCTTTTATCGGCTTCTCCTTTCAGTTCTTATATTGTGTAAATATACTGGTAATACCCTTTTTGGTCGTTTGAATCTGGCTCCTAAAAGTATATCTATGGAGGTGGCACGTAGTTAGCATCTGCTATGGCACTTTAGCTGAACGAGCTGTAGCTGTCTTCTACGGGTGGGAGTTATATCTAAGAAAAGAAATCATGCGTGGACATATAGCTCAGGCTGGAATAGTGAGACATTTTAGGGGATTACTCTTGCAGTTCATTTAAAGCGAATTTTTGAAGGGTTCGGCCATTCAACAAGTGAAATTTTCACCTGGTATTTTTTCAAAATCTACGTTTGGGATTTATTAGCCAAAAAGTAGCATTTGGGTTTTGCCCGACTTGATTAGCTAAAGTTCTACCTTGTTCAAACTGTTCATTTTCTTTAGCGTTTTTCTATGAGGGAGGTCTTGAACTAAGCTGTGATCATGAATCGCGATAAAAACCCAGTATTCTAAATGGCCGATTTTGGAAAGTTTTGAAGGAACCCACTCTTTAACCTCACCCCAAATTTGAAGTTTGGCTATCTCTTAATTTCCACACTAAAATCTGTACTACATAGTTGCATTTCTGTATGATACAGTTTTTCTTCAGTTTTGGTCGCTACTCGAATGAGCAATGGTCACATTTGTGCTGCTAGAGGCTGAAAACCATTCCAGTCTCATGGAGTTGATAGAATATGCAGTGAGTAGCTATTGAAATTATTTGCAGATTGGTGTAGATAAGTGTCATAGGTTAGCTGTACATTATGTGTTTGCAATAACTGTTTATCTTCAGACTATAAAGTCTATGAAGTTTTCGGTGGCTACAGATCTAAGCAAACTGTTCCCAAGCACCAGTACTGATGCTGAAAAAGTTCAACCAGTAAACGGAGTTACCACTAGCGGGTCAACCGCGGCAAGGTAAGTGATCTCACTGTCTTGAAGATGACTGTAAATATAAATGTATAGCACCAGTGCCGACAAAGCCACTACTGAAACTGCAGCATCGAGCACCTTTGAAGGTAGAGGTAGCGAATCAGGGACGATTTCGGCAGCTCTACTTTTGGAAGAGTCAGCATCAGCAAATTTTGACAACGTAAAGAAGGAGGCAAGCGAAATGGACGGTTGGGAGAATGAGGCATCGACTACAGCCGGACTAAATTTGCTAGACATGTCGGCATGGTCTACCGCTGGGACTGCAAGTGAAAAAGTGGGCAAACATAGATCATTTTTCATTTTCAAAATTTGTTTTATTCAAACTTGCTTCGAGTGAGATGACATTTATCATTCATTCTGAGACTAAATAAGAGACTCGAAACTGCTTTGCACACTTTTATACAAGCTCGAACGTTTGCTAACAAATTTGTGTTTGTAATCCAGCTCATCTCGCGTTATTCATTACTGCTCTCAATCAGGAATGTACAATCTCAAGCATGTAGGCAATGTGGGCAGAGCGATTACGAGTCTCTTAGGATCCGCACTTCGCCGAAGGCCCAAAGCCCAAATAAGCCTGAAAGTGCTCAAGAAACCCGAAAAAGCCTAAAAAGCCCAAAAAGCCCGAAAGCGTCAGAAGGAGCTGAAATGCAGAAACGAACTTTTGGGAGAGTTCTGACATTATTTTGATGTGCAGACGATAGAAAATGAACCAAAAAGACTCGGCTGCGAGAACAACACACATGCCTTAGCGCCGAGACGTGCGCGCGGAAGAGGGCGCTCCGGCTCTTTCTGGCGCTTTTGGGCTTTTTTGGGCGGAGTATGACGTTTCTCTTAGTCTCAGAACAGATGTTATGCTCTGCAGTGTTCAGTTTGATTTTTTGACCATTGATCTCTGAATTTCGTCCAACCGTTATGGTGCTGATGACATGCAAAAAGATTATCAGAAGATCTTTTAGGAGCACTTCAAAGATGGGGAAGCACTGATGACAGAGGCGATAGACTGGTCAACAATTACACCTGTCGTGGAGGCTGTAGAAAAAGCGCAAAGCGGTGATATCGCCGATATAGTAAACGCTACGTCGCAGATATCACAGCTTACCGTATCCGTTGCCATGTTGGTCAGTGACTATCTCATGGCAATCATTACAGGTTTCTCACTTGTTATATTTAGTGCTCGTCACTTATGCAGCAGATTTACACTGTGAAACGGAACTTCGTCGCTCTTCAATGTCTTGTATCGAAAAAAGTTGACACAAACTACAAATCAGCACAGGGATTACGCTTTTGCTTGGACAATCAAAGGGAACACTGGATCCTACCTGCTCATCCTCCCTTCGTGGTTGGTCTCAAGATTAATCGAATAAGAAGCACCAGTTTCTTTTTTTTGCCTTTCTAATTGATTATACCTAGTCAGGAACTTGACATGACCAACGAGCTACGCCACTTCACACCTCCCACACGAGCAGCCAGCAGAGAATATCTCGTTATGATAGACTTTTTCCGAAGAGTTTTGTTGAAGGTACATTTCTCAGAACCAACTGAAGAATTGATGATTAAAAAAAATCCAGCTGCATTCGAATCCACCCGAAATTCGACGATATGCAGTGCGACTGCAAAATTTCGGCAGAGATTCTTTGTTGGATCTGCCAGAAGACATCGTGCAGTTTTTCATTAGTAAGTCATCAAAGTCTGCTTCACTTTTCATCGTTCCCTCTGCATCATTAGGAGTGATGAGGGCTCATACGGCTCGGATTCAGCGCTCGCCTCAACTGAGCTTGCACCTCTTTCGCTAGAACAATCTTTTTTCCTACTCTCAACAAGTTCAAAATAACCTTTCCCACCCCCAGCTGCACCAAAATGATCAGAGAGCACGCTCACAGAAGAGGCGCAGAACCCAAGGCGATACAGGGTTTATGACATACAACACGTCCTTTTGCAGATTTTGCTTTGGACGGGCTTGGTCTTAGAGCAGATGAACTTAGACGGGGTCAGAAAGAGCAACTCATTGGTTCTCACAACGAGTAAGCTTAGAATTTAATTATTTTCTGTACGAAATAAATTTGTCATTGTAGGTTCTGGCTTCGGCTCGGAAACGACGATATTGCTCGTGAGAAAGAGTGGGATAGGAGGATGGAGTTGTTGGGGTCATGGCCCAGCCACGCTAGAGCGGCCGTTTCCCAAGCAATGTGAGTAATGTTATTCTGATTTTTGGACGATGAGCTGCTTTGCTTTGTTATCGTCCGGGAACTAAAGGACGCTTGATTTTGCTTGTAAAATATCTATATTTGAATATCGCAGGGAAGATGTGCGAAGATATGTTGTAGTCGACGGAAAGCTACGACCTCCTCCTGTAAGTTTAATCTTGAATTGTCGGTTTCCAAGGCTGCAGCTACTCTTGTCTTGTGCTCATATACAAGGTGTCCCAAAAAATGTGAACACTGTCTCATCGTTAATAACTCCCTTGCTTTCATGTCTTTCGCAGAGCTTGAGGCGCCATTCTGTACAGCTGGCTTCAGCCTAGATTTGCGGTATGGAAAGAATTTCCGATCTTTATTCGTTACTGTAAGATTACGGTACAAACTTTGAGGATGATTTTAGGAAATTGAAAGCGATTTTTGCCTTAGGAAGAAAGTCAAACAAGCCCGAAACTCTTGTACTAAACTAATCGAAGTCGCCAATTCTATACATGATTTTTGCGCTTTACTGTGATGCTTCCTTCATAAGTTATTTTGTTTTAAGGTAACATTTGTTTTTTCAATGTTCATCAGAAGTCCGATTACACCATTGAAAGAGCTTAAAAAACTGTTGAAAAGTTGTGTACTGGAATCAGCACACCTAAAAACCTTACTACACAAATTTCCAGATTTTTTGGAATTTTTCCAAAAAAGGCCTATTCTACATATGGCATGCTGAAAGTTGCATATGCTGAAAGTTTATACCGTTGCCCTACAGTAACGAAAAAAGGTCGAAAATTCGTTTTATGTTGAAAATGTGAGTTGAACCTCGCTCTACAGAATGGCGCCTCAAGCTCGGCGAAAGACATGAAAGCAAGAATGTTATTGACGTTCAAACAGTGTTCACATTTTTTTGGGACACCCTGTACATCACAATATGGCCAAAACTTACAGTCTCTCACTAAAACTCCCTCTTAATGGCGCGTGATGCGTTGTGTCACCATGCCACGTTAGAGGCAGTTTTATCAAATTTGATTTCTGAGATTCTTATTGCAATAAACATTTACTAGTTAAAAATTTTGCTTCAAAAGGTAGATGGTAGGGGCAGCCTTGCCATTATCGCTGGTGGTCTGAAGGTACCGTGTCCGAAAGGGCTGCAAAGATTTGATTTCTGAGATTCTTATTGCAATAAACAGTTACTAGTTAAGAATTTTGCTTCAAAAGGTAGATGATAGGGGCAGCCTTGCCATTATCGCTGATGGTCTGAAGGTACCGTGCCCGAAAGGGCTGCAAAGTACCTTAAGATATCGTCTCTTATCATGATGAAATGATCTTCAAGCTTCCGGCCCGATAACCTCCTCTAACCCTTGCGCTTTGAAAAGCGGTGCTGCCTGCTTCATCTTCTAGAGCAGTTTTCTCGTCTCAAAACCCATCTTTTGGAACGAGCCAGCCTAACTTTCGCCTAAAGGGGATTGAAATTGACAGTCCTTTTACTGAAAAACTGGGTCAAGAGTTCTGGATTCGATTGGGGGAACTGGATTCGTCCTAGGGGAAGCCATATGGTTACACTCCATAATTTTGATATTCAGAAACGTGCTGGCGAGCGGACGTCTTCTTCACGAAACGCCAAACATGCCAGAGCAGAGGAGAATGATGAAGACGATCTTGATAATGATGGCAAGGGCATCACATTTGCTTGAGATATCTCGCAACATTGTCTTTACTATATACAAATACTCTATGCTGCTGTTGATGTTGTGAATATACAGAGATCTTCATGTTGATATCATGTATATGTGGCCTTCGAATTCCAACTAAAAGTTTGATTATAAAACTTCATATCCTAGTGAACTGTGGTGAACTTCATGTTTGTTTACACTTATAGTACTTGTTATGAATTACTCCTTTTCTTATTTTCTATGTGAAAACCGTGTTGTCGAGCGGTTCAGTGTAGTGTTGTACATTTGGACTAAGGTTCTGAAGGGGTTCATGGTTATCGCCGCGAAATTCTTTCCTTCATCCTAATCAGCGGGCAATCCTTCGGGCAAGGTGTGTGGTAGATGATGGTGCATGCATAAAAAACGTGTGATCGGCTCCCAGATTTGTATATTGGCGGAGCATCGCGAACTTTTGAATCTCCACGCAAGAATATCGCTTTCCGTACTCTTTAGCTATCAACTGCCATTCCTTGAGGTGCCAGGAGCGTCTGTACGAATCTGGGAGCCGATGGTATTTTGTTCTTCTTTGGCAGTCGCTTTTCCGCAGCTACAGTATATCAAACCGCGCTAAGAGCCCATGTCTGTGCCTCTTTCATCCTAAATTTTTGCTTGGCAGAACGCCAATGCTGTGCGTTCGCTGTGCAAAGCCTTCAACGACGCGGACGCGCTGCTCCATGTGAGATGTTTCGCTTACCCCAGGTTGAAACAGACTGTATCAGGCATGCGTTCCGCAGGTCATAGGCGCGTAGTAGGATATAGGCCGTCCGCGCAGGGCGCGGAGAGTGCGCAACGTGTGTATTGCACGTCACTCCTCTTTCCCCGTGCACTCTCGCCGCCTGTTTTTCTCTGCGCTCAACTATCTTCACTGGACGCAACAGCGTTGCTCTCCGCGCGCAGCGCGGACGGCCTATAGCAGCGACTGTGCAGAGGATGACGCACAAGCAAAGAAAAAGTTGCTTTGCCTTACAGGGAGGGAAATTATGGCAATTCCATAAAATGTTTATATTTCCCTAGAAAGAGTGAAACGCTGGTTTCAATTTTCTGAAGAATTATGCTCTTAGTTATAAATTCTGATACAGAGACATATGATTTGCAGAGATTCGCCATGGTTACCTATGTTTTGCTGGAAGCGGAAACCCAATCCACATTGATGGATTTGATACACTACGCTGTAAGCCGGCGGTTGTTTGTTTTCAGTGATTCTTCTCTATTTATCGTATCTTGTTCTAGACTGCCAAGGCGTTGAAGTTCACCGTCTCAGAAGAGTTACGCAAGATTTTTCCCTGTAAATGTGCGGAAACCTCTGATTCGCGTGTGGAAATGAGCGGCTCAAGTGCTGACTCACCTGCGATGTAAGTTTGGCCCCAGCGAGACTTCGCTCAAAAGCGCCCGAGAGCGCTCAAATTTTTCTGACCTCTCTTCACTTTCTTTATCTCTCCTCACACGAGAAAATGAAGAGACATTAGAGAAATTTAGGCGCTTTCGGGCGCTTTTGAGCGAAGTCTTGGTGGGGCCTTTGGGAGGCCTACATCACCTGCTTATCATATAGCGAATTTTTTTCCAGCCTTTTCGAACAAAAATCTGAAATGCCTTCTTCGCATTTTACTTTCCCATCGCTATCAGCTGCACAGCTTTTGGAAGACGCAAATCCGACAAGCACGGTGAAGCAGGAGTTGGATCGTGCAGCACAAAGCTGGGAGAACGAACCTATGAGGAGCATGGACACAAACCCTGACTCTATGTCATCAGAAATTTCTCTCGAAGAAAGAGTGAGTAGAGAAGGATGAGACTTGGACACGGAAATAATGCTTTCAGGTGCAACAACTTGAAGCTACCGTGAGAAAGATGGACATCCGTGTCTTGACTTTAGAACATGCTTCCCATGTTGGATTGCCCTCAACCAACCACGATGGGGCTCAAGCTAGTAACATTTACGAAAGTAACAGGTGTGAAATTATTGTATAATTTCTGACCGAATAAGCATTGAAATAGCTACTTGCAGAAAACGCAAGCACTACATGCCGCTGCCAGAAGCACATCAAGTCGCTTCAACTAGTCAAGCAAAAATGGGGGAAGACTGCAGCTCATCAGGTATGTTATGGCTGGCGCTATCTTTGTAGTATCAGGTTCACCCGCAGCAAATCAGAATTTAAATTGCTATTGCACGATCAAATATGACTAGGACTTTCTGACTTTCTGCATATGTGATATATCCTTTGATTCAACTGGAATAGCGGCTAGAATTCGGGACTTCGCGACCTAGTTAAGGCTAGAAAACGATCAGAGAGCATGTTCGCGAGGGAGACGCAGACTGCGTCGTGGACGCGAGCGGTCGCCTTCCAGCCGACAACCTCGATGAATCAATGCGCACTCTTCTCACATTAGTAAATTTTTTGCTTAAAGTAGGTATGTTTGCAGTGCTGAGATTTCGCGGTAGTATTTGCGCATGATGAAATAGCTGCGCCTAAATCGCACAATACCTTTTAGCCAAAGGTATTTTTATTATAAAAATAAATCGAAAGGAGGCGCACGCTCATTATCGCCTGTGAATAGCCTGTAGCGCGCTGGGATCCCACGTCCCCAACCCCTCCACATGTTGTTGTGCAAAGCGAGGCGTGTATTTTACAAGCCTGTAGCCATTTCTACGCGCAAAGATCACCACAAATCCTTGACATCGTAATCACACTTTATTGAGCAGAAGATCCTTATAAACTGCGTCATCTCGGTGTGTCCGTTGTTCTCAAGGGATCTGAGATATGCATAATTAGCGTGCCGACAACACTTGCGCATATCCTCCGTCTCAATGATAGTGTCGCCTAGTCTTGCGGTTACGCCCGCTTAGCTGTCTCGCCTAGGCAAGGGACATACCTCACGCGATTTCAGTCGCCACGCGATCTGGCAATTTGCCATATGTCTTCAAATTCAATACTGGAAGACCTCAAATGCACAGCATGTATAACTTTCGTAGGTCGATAAAATGCCCCCTCTTCCGTTCATTCAGAAACCCCGTAGGATGAATTATAAACATTTGGAGTATTGCCAAATCGCGTTGCGACTGAAATCGCGTGAGGTATGCCCGAGGCCTTAGACCCTGCGCCGCGTCTGCGACGTATCCATTGGGTAATTTCCAAACTTGAGCGGCGATTCAAGAATGGCGGGAATGGAACACAGGCAATGCCTAATCAAAAAAAAACTCTGGATCGACTCTGTTGTCTTTTCGAGCTGCGCAAACAGAAAGCAAAGCAGTGCTTAATCGAGAGCTTACATAGAAATTTAAAAGAACTTTCAAACTTCTTACTCTAAAAATGATTTATCTAATACTAGCAGTTCAGAAAGAGGAATGCCTATTGATGATGTTGGCGGAATTAGTGGTTATTCAGTAATGCGTTTCAATCCCCTCAAATGCAGATGAGTGAACGAATGCGTGAACGCACTTTTTTGCTTTTCTAAAGTATTTTCACTTGTTTGTTTGTCTCATCGAAAATTTCGACTTCCTTGTTTACCGTTTTGGTACCTCTTACCTCTTGTTTTAGCTTTTCGCCTCCTCATCAAACATCTCTCGTTTAAAACTTTTTCATCCACTGAATTTTCTCAAATATTCATGCTTTTTTAGGAAAATTTGATTCTTTTGCAGTACCGTGTCCACCGCAACGTCTGCAACCAGTGCTAGTGAGAAATGGTTTTGGTGAAAGGTTGGTTCTCAAATTGAGTAGTTGGCGTACCCGGTTGTATGTATAGAAAGACCATCTGGCAGCGGCGAAACGAGGGGGGGGGGAGGGAAGGGTTGCAAACGTACCCAGGTGTCCTACATGCGTTAGAAAATTGTGCAAGCGACTTGTTGCTACTTTTCAAAAATTAAAGTAAATTTCGAAATTTGAAAATGCAGTTCACCACCACTCGTTAAAATCTCTGGGAAACATCTAAAACTTTCTTCTGAAGGCGTGGCTAGCGCTTCCCCGCTCACTCCTTCATCCCCTCCCCTCTTTCGAAAATCTTCGCAGACCGCCACTGCTGTTTGTTTGAAAACATCTACAAGCTGCCTTTTTCATTAATGCACACATTTACAGAGTTGGAAGCAAGGTGCGGTCTTCTATCAACTACCAAGAGGGCAGAGACGAGGATTCGCATCACACTGAGGTGCGTATCCATTTCACTGGACTGACATGATCGACGTGGTAGTTGCTGGGAAAATTAACTGTCTGTCACTGCGCAGGCTATTGCAATGAGGTGTCGGTGGCAGCAGCAGCTCAGGTCCTGCGCGGCCGCTGCGATGGAGCCTGCGCTGCGTTCGCAGGCCGTCGTGGAATCATTTTCCCACGCCTGAGCGTGAGAAAGAACTCAGAGTCGAACTTCACAGGTAAAGGCATGGGAGAATGGTTAGAGAAAAGACGATTACCAAGCGAGGCGGCCACGCGAGACCCGAGCTGCTGCACAGGTTATCGTGAGAACGAGCACGGGAGCAGCTAAAGGGGGCTTTCGGGTTAGAATCATGGTTTCGCAATGGTTTATTTGCGGAAGGAGAGAGAAAAAAAGAGAAAAGGGAGGAGGAGAGAAGGAGAGAGACGCATCGCATGCTAGGTATAGGAAAAGGACCATCTGTCGTTTGTGCTTGGGAGCGTCTGTGCTCGAGAGCTGGTTCGCTATGCTGAATCCGTAAATCCACACGGGAAGCGCGAAAACGGCGAAAAAGGGCTCTAGCTCGTTGTCAGGAGGGAAAACCCCGAAGTCCCCGCCGATCTGCTAATTAATTACCCTCCTGCGTTAAAGCCCTTTCTCGCCGTTCTCGCGGTCTCCGCTGGTCGGGTTCAGCTTAGCGAATAGGCGCAGGTGAGCCCAAGCTATCAAAATCGACTTCTTGGCCTGACACTGCCTTTACACTGCTGGAGTTAAAGGCAGCGTCGTGGCAGAATGATGAGTACTGGAATATTGAAGCGTTGCTGTGGCAGGCCCTCTGACTAATAGCGAAGTCTGGAGCGAAATAGCTTTGGTGAGCGTGGAATCCACTTTGGAAGTCTTACGGACCCCGTCCCTTCTTTCCGGACCCCGCCCCTTCTTTCCGGAACCCGCCCACTTGCATGAATTTTGCTGGTACCTATGAGAACCCCTTTCTGAGACACAAACTGTACATGATTTATACAATCCGAAATTGTTTATAGGACATGCTACTCAATAAACTTATGAGTCTGGAGGATGAGCTCATGAGGTTGTCGCAATTCAAAAATCAGCGCTTGTTAGCCGAAGCGATGTTATTGGGAACAATGTTCAAATACGAGAATCTGAGAAGGGAGCATGTTCTCAACTACGGTCCACCTTTCAAGGTATTGTAACTACCTTGTAAAGCACGCTGATGGTAACCGTTGTACTGCTTGTAGGTAGTTGATCTGAACGAACTCCTGAGAGGTTACGCAGTTCCGAAAAGAGCACAGCAGAACGTCTCGCTTCAGATCATAGATTTTTGCCGATATTATTTCAAACAGGTACGCAGTATCTCCAGCAGTATGATAGAAAACTTGTGAAATTCCCAGGCGTGCGCTCCTGATCCATCCGATATATGGAATTACGCGTACCGTCTTTCAAGAGTTTCACGCAGTTCAACATTGAACGACTTACCAAGTGTTGTTATTGATACAATTGCTGGTAGTCCTCGTTACTGTCTTAGCTTGTCAAGATTTTAATTGAAAAATCCTTAGATTTCATTTTGGATGCACTAAACCTAGACAGTTGTGTATTGCACGGATCTCGGCTAGCCTTTTTGAGAGACTCGCAAGATAGGTGCATTTCCCGTGAAATAAGCTTGATGTTTCCCTAAATACGAGTCTTCCAGCTTCTGGCTATCATTGGGTGAGTCTGAAGAAGAGCGCGAAAGAACCTTTGAGGAGCTCTTGGAGAGGAAATCTTTTTGGACCAACGAGACGAGAACATTGATAGCGCAAGCACTGTGAGAATTTTCTCTGATTAGAAAAATGTATTTTATATGTTCCACATTTTGCAGCGAGGATATTCGCTATTACCGACTGTATCAAGGAATCCTGATTCCCCCCAAGGTGCGTTTTGCATCCGCTTGCCCTCTAATACTACCGTGACTTGCAGAAAAATAAGGATTCCGGTAATGCAGTCGGATACGGTCGCGCGGAGAAATTGAAGATGACAAGTGAAGAATGGAAAAAATTGAACTTATTTTAAGATTCGTGTTTGTTTGCTAATTGCACCATTTCAAACGGTTTCTCATATTTTCAGATCTCTTTATTTTAACCAGTGTTGTAATATGGTAACCCTTGGTTTTTCTTTTCATTTTGAGAAGTTTCCCATGAAGTTCGACCAAACACCTTTACGTCAGGTGCCAGAACTTCCCGTTCAACCGGTTAACTCGGCTCATCTCAATCACTATTGGTCACTTCAATGGATTTGCCAATAGCGAATAAGTGAGGACGAACCGCTTGAACGGCTAAGTCTGGAATCTTTCTACAGAGCAGCTTTTCCCAGTGTTATTTTTGTCAAACTGTCAGTTACTAATGAAAGAATTGTCATACTCATTTCAATAAATGCTTAGCATTGCGTTCTTTCTATTTCCATTGCATGCTTTCCGCAGTGTGAGTAGAGGCGGTTGGGGGGGGGGGGGAGTTGCGAATCTTGGGTACGCAGTGCTGGATTGTATGTATGATGTATTAACATGTATCCCATAGTTTGATCTGGGCTGCGACTTCTTAGAGCAGCGCGCATTCGTTTACCGCTGCTTTTTCAATGCTGCGAAACTTCATTTAGGAGATGAAGAGGGGCGAGCAGCCCCGCAAGTATTTCAATACCAAGTCATCTTTGGCTGCGTCCGCAGTGCCCAGCGAGCTCTTGCAACACCGTGCCGGCGCCGTGCCGGAACTATATCAATCAATATGGGGCGTGTCCACGTCGATTCTGGCACTGTACTGGCATAGCACCGGCACAGGTACATCTTTGGAACGCCATCCCTGCCGCAGATTTTGTTCATCACCTATCGGCCCTTGCAAGCATGTCTGTTCAATTTTTTCGCCAAAGAGCTTAACTGAAAGGACTGCGCTAGAATGCGGCTGAATGAACGACAAACCGCCGTTTTAACTTGTTGGAGGGCAGGCACTGCACGAGTCCTTAGACCACTCATCAGAATAGAAGTTGGTATATTTTTGACAAAATAAAATAAATTAAAACGAGCGAGCAGTTTCTCAAAGTTAACATTTATGTTACCCGCTAATGTATTGTCTGTCCGCCAGGAATGTTCCCACGTCAGTTCGCTGCCTTTCGCTCTTCTTGACATGTTAACTTGAGCGAATTCAGGGCATTTTCGTTTCAAACGATCGAAAGGCAGCAAGCTGACATGATCATTTATAAAATCGTGAGGACGGATTTGGCTGTGGTCTTTGCGACCATAAAACATGAGACACTCATAAACGGAAAGGCATCACCTCAACTCTCAGCTCACTGGCTTCGAGTGTCTAAATGCTATCATATGAAAGTTGAAAAACCTGAGCAGAGATGTATACCGAGAAAACGCGATTGCCGGAAGTGCGTGCGTTGGGCGTCGCGCACAGTGACGCCATCGTCACCATTTTCCGAATGCCCTATACCTACGGGAACATTTTTGGGCGACGAACCATACTTTATGTGCCGATCTCACCGCGGAAATGCAAGAAAAATAATAAGTCGACAAATTCGCTGTAGGAATGTTAGACTCTTACCTCATATAAATATAATAGATGCTCTGCACGCAGTGTTTCTCAAAAAATGGTCATAAAAATGTTTAGAGCCTGTTCAACACAGCAGCATTGAAAAGTCTGAAAAATGTTTATTATTTTGTAATTGTTTATTCATATGCACTGCCATCTGGTTACACCTACGCGAACAACTGGCACAGGTAGCAGTGCGCAAAGATGCACAATCTGCGTCGGTTGTTCGTGCGGAAGGAGTTTGTTGGTGATGGTGCCCTTCCCGTTCAATGATGGTCGAAACTGCTGTTGTTGGCCCTATCAAAAAAGTGTTTGCAACGCTTGTCTGGAAATGGTTATCAAATTAAGTTTTATTTGGAACACACATGATAACTCAACATGTGCAGGCGACAGGAATTTTATGTAATTACAAAACAAAAATATTACAGTTTATGATGCACACAGCTATGTAAGAATAGAGGAATACACAGTAGCCACGGGAATTTAGCGAAAATATAGTACAGAATCTTGATTCGAAAGAGATTTCGGTAAAAAAAAATGGCATTGAGGTTTTAGAGATTTACAATAAATTTACAATAAAAACAGATAAAAGCAGTGTCTAGGCAAAATTTCGTTTTACAGATTTTCACCTATTCGGAGTTTTTTCACCATGAAGAGTCTATATGTGGGCTTTTCAGCGCATGAAAATGGCGAAAACGAGTTTTTTTCTAAGCTTTCCAGGCCCGCATTCGGTATATTAGGTCATTCCGAAAGTAATTCGCTTTTTTCAAACGGTCGCCACATGTGATGGAACAAAGATTCCTAAAAGATTTTGGAAGCATTCGATGCACCATTTCATCCTCTTTCTAATGGTTATGGAAAGGCTGCAATGCGGTCAACGAGCTTTCAGAAAATAACCAAAATCTGCGGCCTATGCTTTTTGAGATGGTCAAGTTTCACGATTTTTCAAAACTTTCGTATTAATCCTCAAAAGCAGTTCAAGTAACGGTTCGATAGAGCAGACCTCATAGAATACAATTCACCTTTTTTCTCTTTTTCATAGCTCGCCGTGATTTTTTAAAGGGTTTTTGAACAGAACCATCGGATTTCGGCAGGCTCACCTTAGCCCTCACTTTAGCCACAATCGCATTAAACATCATAAATTTTTTGGAATTTGAGACTACCAAGATGGTACTATGAGTTAGCATCAATTTTACAAAGCAAGCGAGGGTTTACGGTTTCAAAATATAAAATTTAAGTTTTTCGGGTCCAGCCTGGAGCTCGCTAAAAAAATGAGTTATGATGCTATTATCCCCGAAAACTAAACGAATCGGAAACGAAAAACATCCGTTAGAAAGAAAAGAGAATGCTGCATCGAATTGTATTCGAGTTGCTCTTCCGTTGATGTTCTACGAGGATTTAGCTGCCCAAGTATGGAAAACGGCAGCATCAGTTAAAATTCTGTTAAAAATGTATGACAAGCTATGGAAAAGAGAAAAAAATAATACTGTATTTTATAAGGTTTACTCTATCCAATCGTTACTTGAGCTCTTTCTGAAGATTGATATGAAAATTTTAAAAAATCGTGAAACTTGACCATCTCAAAAAGCATAGGTTTTAGGTTTTGGTTATTTTCTGAAAGCTCATTGACTATGCTGCAACACTTTCACAGCCATTAGAAAGAGAATGAAATGCTGCATCGAATGCTTCCAAGATCTCTTAGAAATCTTTGTTCCATTAAATGTGACGCCCGTTTGAAAAAAGCGAAATTACTTTCGGAATGACCTAATAGATACGCCGGAAGTCTTTCGCGTCCCGCCTCCCTCGTTCCGGACCTCGCCCCTTACTCGTTTTCTCCACTGATTGCGGACCTGGAAAGTTTCGGAATAAGCTCGTTTTCGCCATTTTCAAGCGCTGAAAACCCACATAGGATTTCTCATGGCGAAAAGGCTCCGAATAAAAAACTGGAAAACGAAATTTTGCCGAAACACTGCCTTTAAATTCAACAGTCTCTACAAGGGGCTATACCGCATGAGTGTCTAGCTCAGTCACTCACAGAGGTTTATGCAGTGATAGTGGGTTTCCTAGGGGAAAGTGGTTTTAATCTGCGCCTCGATAACAAAATAATCACTTTCCAATGCAGATTATTTGGAACTGCATTGCCATATCGTTGTTTCCATGATTATTTCATTCGAGTTCAACGAGCGGCAATACATACTTTTTCTCGTCGGTTACACCAGAATTTAGGGTAATAATATTTGAGTACAATTATTGTGAATGATTTTTTTCAGATCAGCCTTGGTCGACACCTCAAACGACATGTGCACAAAAACACAAGCTTGAAGAAGTCCCCGGGGTCAGGCGCCTGACAAGAAGACGTTGTTGTGCTTGTTACAAAAATCTAACTCGGCTTTATGGAAGTGCATTTGCCAGGTGTCGTACGAAATTAGTTAATACACGCTGTGGTGAGTGTGGAAGTTTCTACTGTTTGGAATGTTTTCAAAATATCCACGTCCATTGTTGACCTTTTCATTTCGCATTTCAAATGAAACTATGATTTATGCTCGTGCAAAAATTTTAGATGTTTTTAGGGATTTCCCTTATACCTAGGTCAACCACCAACTATATGCAGGCTTTCAAATCTGAGCTAGTACAAATCGGAAAAGAGCTGAGAACTTGTTTGTGCTACCACTGCTCTACGAAAATTTGTGAAAAAAAGGCCGTATTTTACGTTCTTGTAGAGTAAGAATTTACAGAGATTGTCCAACCAAAAAATCAGGTTGACTAATCCAGATCAACCTTGATATGTATTGGACTGATCAGGCTCTTTCTCTTGAAGGGAGAACGGTACACCGGACCACATCTCATCCCATGAAAGATCATCTTCGGAAGGTGATGATATTGATGCTAAAGATCCATCAGAAAGCGACCTTCCTGAAAAATTTGGGAGATTCCATTCACGACTTTTGCAAAACATAACAATCGACACTCAGCATAACATATATGCATATATTAGGGTGATCCAAAAGTAATGGGGCACTCAGAGAATAAATGTAGTTTTCTCAAATAGAAAAGCTAATTGGAAGTCCAAGTTTTGGCGGATGTTAGTACATAACAAAACCTTCTGATTGAGGTCTATAGTTGGGCACTGTCACGTGGCGTCATTTTTACAAGCGCTTAAAATTGTAGCTCATTACTTCAAGTAATTTTTAGGTTTGAGCAGCAGCGCCGCAGTAGAATTAGTGAGCCTACCAAAGATATCTGCGCAGCAATGGGTGAGGGGGCTGTCACCAAATCCACGATAGCTCGGTGGTCCCAAGGCTTTAGAACAAGATATAGCATTGGGTATCAGGAGACATATTACTTGATCTTTCATCAAGGTAATCAAATAAGCTCAACCCTAGCAGTTGCTTTCTGATAGTGTTTTTTGCGCTCTATCCATACATATGCAAATTACTTCGGCTTTTCTCATTTTCAAAAATTGTGGGTCAAAACATGAATTTTAGTTTGAAAATCTGCGCCAAACACCGCACTTTTTCGAATAAAGTGTTTTTTGTAGGAATAATGGGCAACTCTTAATTATTCAAGTAATCATTAGAAAGAGCTTGGAAAGCTCTTTCGAATGGTATGCCATATGTCGAGGAGCTTTCAGATGCAGCAGCACAAATTCGGATGGCGTTCAAAAAAGTCTGTCCGACTTCTTTGAAGCGCCGCTCAAAGGAATGTCGGTGAGGTGTTGGAAGGTGCTGTCAAGATAACCTGCGAAGGTCATTCTATACAAGAGCGTTCAAACTGCTGCTCAGATAATCGCCGGGGGCAAGCGGCCATGCGAATTTTGAGCAAGCGGGCACCGGAAAAATAGTTCGCTGATTTTTTGTGGTCCGCTTGCAGAAATTTGGAATAATTTTGGCCAATTTTTAGACGAACGCTCGAAGATCTATCGCGATTTTTCTATACATAAGTTGCGGCACAGTGGCCGCATTCTCGCGGATTTTCCGCGAGAACATGCAAAATTATTGAGAGCGGCACGGTCCTTTTTGAAGGACCGCACAGCCCTCAGGTACTTTCCGCTGGAAGAAAGTACCCCAAACTTGGGTATAGGGGCCTGCAGGATCGCGAGAGTCGGACGCGCGTACGGCCTTTGCGCCGCGCACGCCTGATATCGCTGGGTCGTAGTCGATTAAGGCTAGATAGGTAAGTTTTTTTTTGTTTTTCTTTACATTTCACGCCTTCTTTTCTTTTCAGACGGTGAGCACATGTTGATGCGGAGGAGTTTAAGATCTGAATTAAGGTGAGGTGCAGGATTATGCTCAATACGGACTCAATATTGCAGACCTTCCATGCCTGCTGGTTGAGATGTTGGATGTTCTGTCCTGGCTGCCCTGTTACAGCAAACTGTTCTATTTCTACCGTCTATTCTACCTTATCTTGCATATTGCTTGTGATGATGATGATGATGATGACAATGATTATGATTGTGATGACGCGCATGATGCAAGATGAGGTAGAGCAGACGTTGCAAATAAAACGGAGTTTCGTAACCGGGCAGGCAGGACGAAAAATCGAACATAATCGGACAGCCAGAACAGAAAACTCAACTTCAAAGCAGGGGTGAAAAGTCCACAATATTGGCCCGTATTGAGCATAATCCTGCACCTCACCTTAATCTAGATCTTAAACTCCTCTGCACCAACATATGTTCGCCGCCTGAAAAGAAAAGAAGGCGAGAAATGAGAAGAAAACAAAAAAATCTCACCTATCCAGCCTAAATCGAGTACGACCCAGTGACATACGACGTGCGCGGCGCAATGGCCGTACGCACGTCCGACTCTCGCGATCCTGCAGGCCCCTATAATAAAACCATCGATGGCACCTCTGCCACATAGAGTCTCATCTTTTCTCGGCGTACGCCCGAAACTGCGTAAAAAGAGTCTGAGCGCCTGCTGAAAGTTTGGCCAGCGCTCGCTGAAAGAGATTGTTTGACGAGCGCTTGCAGAAAATTTTGTATTGATGCCCGCTTGCAGAAAACGCAAATACCGCCCGCTGAAGATTTGGCCACGCCCCGAAATTCTGCTGACCGCCTGCAGAAAAGCGCGAGTTTGCGGACCGCCTGCCCCCGGCGATTATCTGAGTGGTTGTTCTTGGCTAATCAGAAAGAGATCTTGAGGAATATTAAAAAAAATCAAGGTGCCCCGTTACTTTTGGATCACCCTAATACCATCTGTTTCCTTTGAAGTGAACGTGACTAGAGCGGCTCGACTCTCGCGCGACCGCCTCACTTGGGCTCTGCACCACTCTCACAAACTTGCCTTCTGGTCATTCCATATTTAATTAAGCGTAGGAAAATGATCAGAGAGCACGTTCGTAAGAAGGCACAGAGCCCAAGCGACAGGTTGTTCATGCAACCGCCCGCGTCGGACTCACTCTGAATGAGACAGAGAGTAACCTTTGATTCAACTGGATTGGCGGCTGGAAGGCGGGGCTTTGTGACCTAATTACGGCCGCTCGCGCCCGTGATACAGTCTGCTCTCTCTCGTGCGCGTGCTCTCTTATCACTCTCTAGCCTTAGCTAGATGAGCCTCGGGAGTAATCAGTGTTTATATTCTATACCTGTCTAGGGGCAGAGGCAAAACAGGATCATACTTATTATTTACGAAGCCCCACCTTCCAGCCGCCAATCCACTTAAATTGAAGGGTAGTTGACTTTTATGCATCGCAGTTTCTTCAACATAATGGACTACTTCAATACGCCAACGTGTTCTTTCCAAGTGCGCGAAAATCGAAATAAATGTGAATATAAACAAAAGGCTTGTTTGCAGGAACAGAGAATTTCTGAGACCAATCTCGACGACAGTATTGATACGGTCTCTCTCCGCGCTTCATTGAGAGACGTGCGCAACGCTCAATTAAAATCTGTTGCCGTCATTGCACAACTGGCTTTAGCTTGAGAGTGCTCGAGTGCATGCAAGGCCGTTCTTTCCAAAGAGGGTTAAAATCATAAGATAGATTTATATTTATGACGCAAACTTACTTCTAGAGGTAGGAGTGTTTTGCTTGCTTCTGTTTGATGGAGCTTGAATACCCAGCAAACTGAAGAAAATATGTTAAGTTAGTCCGAGAGTTCTGTCGCACCATTTAAAAAATCGTAACTACTTTTAATCATAACAGTCTTGCATAGTATTATACCATGTATCTTTCCATGTCCCTATTGTTTTTAGAACATTGTTCACTCTTTATGGAGCTCTTATTGCATGGATAAAAACCGAAAACGAAGATCAATTGAGGTCCCGTGAATTTATGCAAGATCCTTCAAAAACCTAAAAACTGTGCCATAGAATCCGAAACAGTCAATGCTTCAAGTTTTCTAACCTCCTTCTGCCTGATCAAAGTTGTGCTCATCGAGCTTTTCTTGAACACTTATGATTCTCGGGACAGCAGAAAATGGAAAGTTTGATTTTTCAACATTTTTCTAGAAAATCATAGCTTTTTATAAGCGCGATCAGCATAAGCTTTGCTCAGCCAAGGAATCAGCAAAATTATGATATTGACTGGTTTAGAATTTATGGCACAATTTTCAAATTCTCAGAAGACTCTCTTAATATTACCCCAACCTGAACAGTCTTTCCTATTCTTATCTTGCAATCAGAGTGTTGTGTCCTCGTTGCTAGGGCACGTCTTCTTGCCTTTCGTTTCATGAGCAGTACACGTAAAGCACGAATTTACTTGGAAAAAATTAATGAATATTGAAAACGAGCAGAAGTAAAATCTAAATGAATTGACATTGGCTAAGAGTGGCCCCTTTTATCGCTCACTTCCCCCGTACGCTTATGGACTAAGCGATTGCAGATCATTTGAGGTACAATTGATCACTGTAAATCACATTACCTCCAGAAGGATAGTTACAAACAAGAGCTGGCTTACCAAAAAAACCTTAGACATTAGCAAACAAATCAAATTGAACATCACTAAGTACTAGGCTTGGAACCGTTGAATTGTCTTCTCGTTCTGCTCGATCTCCGGAGGGTGACGGTAGCGTGGAAACTCGTGGCGCGACTTTGATGCCGTGAATCCACTAGTGCTGGCACAGCTCGATATCACCTGTTCGGAACACTCATCTGCTACATTGTTATTTCTATGCACCTAGTCTCCGCTTAGAACATCTAACAATAACTTCAAAGCTTTGGTTGTTCGAATTATTGTTAGACGATAAGCTGTTCGCTTCGTTCTGACGCCGCAGCTAATTGGCATGCCTCTCGCAGATCTCATCGCCAATCATACTTCGTAATTGACACTTCCGACACGTTTCATCACAGTTCCTTTCCTCCAATGGAAGTGAAGTGGCTTCTAATGCTTAGCGTATGCCAAGACACCAACTTTGAAGTCTTTGCCAAACACTTTGCTTCTTGACAAATTGATATTTCATATCTCGTACGTCCTCTAATAGTAAAACCTGCATTGTCTTGTATACCTAGAAACCTATGTTCTAGTCGGCCTAACGTTTCGGCATCAATGCCTTCCTCTTCCATGTGTGCAGATCAAAATAAATGACTGACTTTGAGGCCTCGAAAACATTAGTGCCGAAACGTTAGGTCGAATAAAAAGTCTATATCAAACCTTATCCTTCATACGTCATATAGTTTCTCGTCTTCTTCGTGCGAGAGGGTCTTCTGCATCTTCTGGCATTATTAGTAACAGACTCAAATTTTCTGCCATAACAATTCTGCTGGGATCTGCAGTTCAAGTTCCTGCTGTGTGGTCCTATGCACTTCTAACACTACATTCAGAGTCTCTGTTGGCCTCTCCTCTATTTCGTACATTTTCGTGATTCTAATCCATATTTGGATATTAAGTGTAACTTCGAGCCAGCTTCTTCATCCCCACAATCCCAGGATGTCCAACATGCAATTTCTTAAGGACAAATACTCGAAGCTGTATGGGCATAACAGCTCTTTTGGTTGACATCAGACTAGCCCCGATTAAAAATGTCTCTCTTCAATCTCGAGAATGCACCAATTTTTCATCTGTGTGTAACCTGTAACCACTCTCCTTTCTTCGCCTAGGTCAGTACTCTCCTCAGTACTGGATTTTTCTTCCTTAAAGATTGTACATCAGATGACGTCTTGGCAATTTCCTTACATAATTCCTCAAGATGTAGTTTACGTCTTTTCAACGGCAGCTGTCGGCGTCTCCTTTCTTCTGATTCCTCTTCATCGTGATTCCTCTTCATTGTGACAAACCATCTACAACCAAACACCCCGATTTAGCTTCAGCCACCATTCTACTCACATAATATGGTAGGATTTCTCTCCGTTTTTCTGAATCCACTCTAGTCTTAGCAATGAGTTGTGAAGCGTCGCTCGCATATGGTTGCATTCGCCTGAAACCTTTGATTTCATAATCATACGATAGCTTTCCACAGTCATAAAACCTCCACTGGCGTTCTAGACGATCACACATGTCTCTTCTACTTGTGCAGAACCCATGTTTCTCCAAATAGATCTTTGATTAGTATGATGTCTGATTCTTTGCAGCAGAAAACTAACTGAATGACTATTCCCTTTCCCTTCTACATGTATGCATGCCGAGTTGACTTCCACCATCGCTTTCGCAAAACGCTGTGCACATGACGTCTGTTTTCTTTCGATTTTTTTCCTACTGCTGTCACCGCTTCTTTCAAGTCCTCGATTTAAATTTTACTCGGTAAGTGCTCTTTTTTCCGCCACTTGTTCGCAAAATTTCTCCTCATTTTGACTTTGTGCACACTTTGTGGAACCACGGCTTCGCTCCGCATTCTTAGTAAGGTGGGCACCACCGCAGTTCCAGCACTCCAACTGAGTTTTCTTTGCTCGTCGTTTCCACAGCCTTTAAGCAGCTAGCCACAGTCTCACTATCTTTCTTGAAACTCGGGAGATTTTCACATTCCAAGTACAACTTCTGTAACGAATCTCGCACAGCCTTGTATTCCTTGCCCAATACGGCAATGAATCGCTACCTCATCTCAGCCTCTTTCTGGTTCCTCAAACCAAATAATCACAACAGGCATTTGATTCCATCGCTATCGGGGTCAAATCTTCGCTTTCTCGCATTATTCGTTCATGATTATACAAAGTCTCGGACTTGCGATAGTGTGAGAATTTACTCACCCCCTCTTCACCTCTGAACCGGGACCAAGGTGACCCCCTTCACCAAAAGTTGAGAAAGAAATCAACACTGAGGTAAGGTGCAAAGAAGATATTTGTACGGGAATTGTTTGTGTATTGGAAAGGAGGAAGAAGATTTATAGGATTCACGAACTTCCAGGAGGAAAAAAACAGTAGCTTCTGTAGCTGCACAGCAACGTCAGCGAGAAAAGTTCCGGTGGTACAGTGTTCTTTCTGGTTTCAGGGAATAGATAATTTGCCCAGAGTTTGTTCACAGAAGTACTCAGTAAAAGATGTGTCTGATGATTTCTGGACACTTACGAGTATTCAACATAAAAAAATTCATGAATTTTGTGGAAGAACAGCTGGTGCAAGGAAATAGTCACCGGCGGAGCCGCCTCGTGCTCCACTTTCAGAAGATATATAGCATGTCTAAGATCCATTCAAAAAAGTGCCTAGGTGAAGGGTGTGCCTAGTGATTTCTGAAGATTCTCGAGTTTTCAACATAAAACAATTCATAACTTTTGTTGATGAACATCATGTACGCCTAGATGGTCACCATCAAAACCCTCTCGTCCTTCGCTTTCAGAAAGTATATATCTTGCTTGAGGTCCGTTGAAAAACTGCCGGGTGAAGGGTGGGTGAGACTTTTATAATGGGAGTTCTCAAGTAGACGTTCTTTTACAATGGTAAAAAAGCCTCCACCTGAAAACTCCGATTAAAAGAGTGACCCACCTTTCACCCGGCACTTTTTCCAATGGACCCGCAAACTATATATTTTCTGAGAGCGGAGAACGAGGCGGTTCCAACGATGACCATTTAGGCGTACATAATGTTCATCAATAAAAGTTATGAATTTTATGTTAAAAACTCGAAAATCTCCCAAAATCCCTAGGCACACCCTTCACCCAGGCACTTTTTTGGGCGGATCTTAGACATGCTATATATTTTCTGAAAGCGGATGACGTGACGGCTCCGATGTTTGCCATCTCGGCATATAAGATCTTCATCTACAGAAGTATGGATTTTTTCTATCTAAAAGTTCGTAAATATTTGGAAATCACTACCCAGGATCTTCGCCAGGCATTTTTTTGAGATGACTCCCAGACTCCCAGGCAAACTATACCTGAAAGCGGAAGAAAGGATGGTTCTGAAAACGATTTCTTTGCTGACGTTGCTGTTCATCTGCAGAAGTTATAAATTTTTTCTCAAAAATTTGTGAATGCTCGAAAATTGTCTATCTCTTTCCCGAAACAGGTGTTCTTGCATACACAACTTGTAATCCATGGTATTTTACAGAACAGACAGAATATTTTGAAGGGCTGCGACCATTGTGACCCCCTTCACCTTGGAAGAGTCATTCCCACCTTATCGCACCTATGCTTGTTTAAGTAAAGCATTGCCGTGAGATTAAGGTGAAACTCGGTATTTGGCTACATCCACCATGATGCTGTTCAAGAAATGGATATGATTTCTTCGATCAAAATTAGTACATTCTGAGACACCTTGATCCGTATAGCTAATGTTTTGCTGAAGAGATTCTCTATGCGCAAATAAAGTTTTAGCAAAAAGTCAGATTTTGCATTTCTGGGCAGGTATAAAGTGGGACAGCACCTATAAACCTAAATTGCTAACTATTTATGCATGGCCACCAACCTCTCGACTTTTTCCAGCTTTTCCTCGTCACCGAGATTCGCGAATTTTTCCTTAGCCGTCACTGTAAAATTCGCGAAAAAAAGACATTTGGCAAGGATGTTACAGAAAACTTACGTATTTTCTTATACATCTCTAAATGCGACCTTCTACGTTCAAGTTCGAGCCTGCATTTTTCTAGACGTGCTTGAACAGTGATCAATGCCTTGCATGCCTTTGTGAAATCTTCCTGCCTTGCAAGGAGTTTTTCAGATACTGTACCACTGCTTCGCTTACCCCATGAACACCATCTTGTAGAAGAAATACAGTTTCTCCATCGTAACTGATAAAGAAGCAGAGAGTCTCTAAGAAGCGGTGGGATGGACTGAACTGGCTATAGTAGAGTGAATTCTATTCTTAACAGTTATCTGAAGTCTCACCTCGATCATTTCTCCAAAAGTTTTTCCTACTGTCAAGTCAAAACTATCCACGACGTCAGCGCTAAAGGTATGTGGTGTTCAGAATGTTATCGGAACAAATGAGACTTACTGCTTACGCAGGAGACTAACGTAGATGAAACGTTCGTAGTAGGTGCGACATTTCATGTTCAAGAAACTAAGTTCGCGTTCTAGTCGGCATAATTCTGGTCTTGCATAACGTAGAAGTCCCACAGTTGCTGAAAGGACCTCGTACGTCCGTTTTTTCCAAATACTATTCTAATTATACACGCTGTGCATTCAGAGCCTGCCAGTGTTGCCCAGGATATCGGACAAATTGCTAGATCGCGCGGAGATTAAAATCCCGCAAAATATGTGCAGGCCTTGTGCCAAGCTGCGCCTTAATCGCTTAAGCACGAGCGGATTTACATTCCCGCTGAGGAGGGTAGGGAACAGTGGGGAAAAACGAGTAGGAGATGAGTGAAAGTTCCTAGAAACATCAAAATGCAGGGCGCCCCTCATAGCTCGCCTCCTCTTTAGCAAGGATGTACAGTCGAGTAGATTTAGCGGTAATTATAGTGTGCTTGCACAGAAGGTGAAATGCGGTGAAATTTGCGCGTGAACAAGTAGCCACGCCAGTACTGCGGGTATTTTGCGCGCGCAATTGGCCGGCGTCACAGTCGAAGCTATTTCTTCACGCGCCAATTTTACCGCATTTCATCTTCTGTGCAAGCACACTATATTTACCGCTAAATCTACTCGACTGTACGTGCGTACGCGCCTTATAAGCGCCAGGCTACCAACCACAAAGGGATTTCGCATGCGCTCAACTTGTCGGATCATTCCGGTTTGAATTTTGCAGAATCCAAAACGCTTCTAATGTTTTGCGTACTAGAGTTTCGATCTCAAACAGTAAGATCTTCACTCTTCTGCAGTACAGCGTTATCGTGGTGTGTTCTACAATGTTGTTTCAGGGGGTAAGAAAGCTTGAATCATTTGATTCGATGATCTCTGATAAACGAAGAAGGGGCCCGGTTTCTGCGAGTGACATAATACACTTGTGATCAGGTAATTTACCCCTAACACCGTACAGTCACTCTCTTTGCTTTATGGTCATACTAGATAGCCTGAGATGAAGATAGACAGGTCTCCGGTTGCAAACAATTGCCACTTTAGTTTCGGGAGAGAGATTTCAACCACTTTAAGGACCTTTTGCAGATCCGTGAGATGTGTGAGATGCATTAGGCCATTCGGAAATTTCTCGCTTTTTGCGCCTTTGATGTTAGTGCCATAATTTGAGAGAATGCCACAGGGCGATTTTGGTTGCTATATATGGTTCTGTAGGGGGAATCTTCTAGTGTCTAAAGATTTCTACCAAGCTTGCAAAAATCGCTATCTAGAGTTTTATGCGCCTTCGAATTTAGTGCATTTTCTAAGCTCAGATCTGAACGTAAGGCAATCGAAGGAGCCATCATTGTGCGCAATGCATATGCCAGGGCTACATCTTTCTTGAGTTTCTTGCAACATTGCCATAAAAAGTTTAAGTCTGGAAAACTGGAAGCTAATGCTGTAGTGTTCTAGATAGTGTTCCTGACATATAGGAGGACATCAGAGGGTCCTTTGGAGCAAATCGCAATTATAGCTGCATAAAATTATCACAAAGCCTTGAAGTCAAGTTGCCGCACTCGCCGATTGAGGGCGCGTTGACTCAGCTTTCGTTGCTCATAATTTCATCGAGTAGTCCGTTTTGGCCTGGAATGATGCTTGCAGCACAAAATGGGCTAAGTATGGCCATAAGCAGCGACGTAATGATAAATCATTTGAAACAAGCGTTGAAAGCATGGCCATGAACAATCAATCACTTCATAAGGTTGATAAACTCAGATCGCTTTAATCCTGCTAGTATTGTAGACTATGTTGCTAAAAAGAAAAGGATATTTGGTGACCATGGCCTGCAATGGGATATATAGCAGTAGATGCGCCCTGAAACTCTGATTTCAATTCTGTGTTCGTTATCTGCTGTGCGACTCTCTGAAAGAAGTTATGGATTTTTTTCCATGTTATTTTCAAAGATCTAGGCAGTCAGTATTCAGGCTTTATAGGCTTTGTTATATCGGAGAAGACAATTTTTCTAAGCTTAATGTAAAGCTTTATCTAATCTAGGCGCTTTTTTGTACAATTTCAACGATATTGGTGATTTCTGTCATCAAAACAGTGCAAATTTTGGTGGCAAGAAATGTTCAAAACGTCTTTCGGAAGAGCGCACAGCAGATACAGATATCACCAAGTATCCAAATTTGGAATCAGCGCCTCAAGATGCATTTAATGGTGTACGTTTCACTTCAGAAGAGCACGGTCACCATCCTTCCTTTGTAAGATGTGGTTGTACTATCAGAACAGAGTAGTATGATATCGGTCTAAAGACCGTTTGTCATTCTAAAACTGAGCAGACTTGCAAGTATAACTTATAGGAGGTGCCATCCTCGCCCATTATGCCGCCAAAATACATGTAAAAAAGATGACTTTCACAAAAGGGATTGTACTGCGCATCGGAGTTTCTGTTTATTTTTTAAACTCTGAATCTTCCTCTAACAATCAAAAATTTTTCTAATTCCCTCATCAGATAATAGGGCCCAAGAGAATGGTGCGAAATTTCTTGAAATTTACTTACATGGGTTATAAAAGCATGCAAGTGACTTGTTTATTCTTGTGAAAAATTAGGATGATTTTTTAAATTTTTTAAAATCTCAAATTAGCTTGTAAAAATTTTTTTTCAAAAATTGCTCAAAAAATTTTTTGCCGCCCCCCCCCCCCCGGTCCCAAATCCTGGGACCGCCACTTCTCTGAGACTATTTCGTAAGAGAAAAGCAAAAGAGTGCGATAGGAGTATTGCCAGAAACCCGAACACAAAGAAGTCTATTTGGTGGAAAAAGGTTGTATATGGAAAAAGTTCTGCTCGTCTAAATTCGATGATGCAAAAACAAAAAAATTTTCCGAATGACCTAGTAGCATCGCCGCACTGCCTCGCTAAATTCATCCGAGATAAATGGCAAGCAAGAGGAGTTTGGGTGGCGGACTTTATGAACGATAGCGCGCGCTTAGGCAGGCGTGTGTCAATAACGTGCGCACCGTTAGCCCCGCCTGTCGCAAGATGGACGAGTTTTTTGCAGTACAGCTTTAGCGTTGGTTCATGGCCATGTTCCCTAGTCAAGTGAAAGCAACTTCTGATACTGATATAGGCTTGTTGCAAGCTGGGATGAAGCTTGACTATTTGCGGAATTTTGTTTTGCTTTCTTGTTTTTTTAATGCTAGTCATGAACAGCTAATGTTTTTCATGAAATTCAAGAGATTTGCTGATTTACTTATGAATGACCGAGTGACTCCTGGATATCCAACTTTGTAGTGTGAAATCAATCTAGAACACCTCAGGCATGATTGTCTGAGTGACCTCACATCTTGCGACTTGTTCACACGCAATTTCGATTGAGTTACAGATCAATTTATACTGAAGGTAGCAGTTTTTGGAAGCAAACAAAAGAATTTTGTTAGAGAAAAAAAATATAAAAACTTACTTTTCCGATGAAAAAAATAATCGTGTTGGTCATTTCAGCAATGATAATAATATTTCTCGGTAAGCTGACTTCTTTTTAAACGAAACTTGAGAGTACACACAAAAGAATATTCAATATGGTGACAGATGTGAATAAAGAAAAACACTTTCCCAAGCATTTTCGGAACAATTTCCTCATACTTACAATGAGACTTCAATTTAGACAAACCTACCAGGAACAAATAACTGAAATACATTGGAAAAGCTTGCGAGCTTATAATGAAAAATGATCTGAAAACTGATTTTCAATTGAATTGAAATCTTGAAATCTACTGTTATCCAAATTGCAACCTACAGAAGAAGCATGAAGGAAATATTAGAGAGTTTTCCAATGGCTGAGCGCATTCCTCGGCTAATTAACAAGGGGGCGGAGCGATCAGCGCACCGCATACGGTACCCAGCTGGCGGCTGGCACATGCTATCGTTCATAAAGTCATACACCCGAGGAGTTTCTGTCTGTTATGGAAGCAAAGGTGCTACTATACACAAAACCGCGCGATTGCGGGGTACTGCTGTAGTATCCGCTTGGTTCGATTTGGTGAGCTAAAGACAATGATACAGCACATTTGTAGTTAGCAGATGAGATGCCAACAGCGTCCCAAACAAACTTGTGATTATGAAATACATGATTTTGCGCAAACATAGTGCCCAAGATGCTTTTAGAGTTGGCTTGGGTTTTATGCAAGCCAATCGCCAGGTGAATTTGTACCCTGAGCAACGGAAGCAAATTTTCAAAACATTCATGAGATTTTTGGTTTTCTCCTCGTAAAATTTATGCTTGGAATTGCATTTAAGAATACTAAAGCAGATGCCCATCTCAATCTCTGCTCTACACCATTGCGATAGTCAATGGTAATAACGAAGCGGCTTACCCTATAGTAAAGGTGCTTTTACCTAAGGCATAGAAGCCGGTGTATGTAGCGTTGTCCCTTTGCTAAGATTCGTACATGCTTATGATAACGGCTGCACCATCGAAAGACGTCACACTTAGGCGTTGCAGCAGGGTCACTACACTGTTTTAAATCGAACAGGAGAAGTGAGAACGAGCTACGATAATTCGCAGATAGCTTGCATTGCGGCATCGTCTGATGTTTTATAACGACGTGACTTGAACACTAAAACTTTGGCTTAACGGGTAGGGTACTAAACGTCTCCGAAGCTCCACCCCACGCGGACAGCTGATACAAATCTCCAATGTCTGTAATGGGTAGGGTTTGTGGTGTGTAGCAGATGACCGCGTACACCCCCTTCGAAGATATACAATCCTTTTCGCAAAAGGCATTCAAGTAGTCTGCTGGTGTTGGAGAGGTGCGCAGGGACATACTGTGGTAGCTGCACCGATATCAAGTTCACAACCAATGCTATTCTATCGATCCGCAACACTGCTGTGAGCTTTACTCTTTACCAGAAGTAGACAATTGTAGAATTTGTATGCTATTGTTTACCGTCAATATCTCGGAGATGAGCGTTGATGACAGCGGTCACTCGTCTTCTATAGAAATCTGCAATGGAGGCATAACGTTAATGATTGTCGTAACCTACAGTACAGCTCTCAAAAATGGAAATCTATGGGGGTTCCTCATATGATCAGATTACAGATTGCGCGTTCAACGCAAATGATAATATGAG